AGATCCGATCAATTAGCCCCTCATGTATAGATATTCCAAATTTTCATTTTTTTCCTCATTGAAGTAGTTTTGAAAAAAAATACGAGCTAATAAAAAACATTTGCTAGCTGGGACTTTTTTTAAAATAAATTTTTGAAAAATCTCCCCTGAAAAAAAGGCGTTATCCCCCCTACTTCATTATTTCCAAAAAATTTTATCACCAATCGGTAGCAAATTGTTTGAAGATTTTTGCGAGTTAAGAAAAAATCGTCAATGCACTCCTATTATTGTGTAAATTAACAATTCCAATTTCAACTGAAAACCAGAGTTGATGACCAGAGTTTGTAGCAGAGATGCCAGACAAGATATGAATGTTTTTTTTGGCTCAAATGAAAGAGCGGGTCGAGAAATGGCGTGCAGAAGTCTTTAAAGATGACAAATCTCTCTAAAGATGATGTCTGTTTTCAATTGAAAAGCGCAATTGTGACAACATTTTCCAGTGGGTTCTAGGAGTCTCCCCTGGTTCAACACCATCTTTAGAGGTCCTAGCACGCCATTTCTCGACCCGCTCTTTCGTTTGAGCTCAAAAAAACATTCATATCTTGTCTGACATCTTTGCTACAAACTCGGGTTTTCAACTCGGGTTTTCAATTGAAAGCGTGAAACACACAGTAGTATGAAACTCCAACTGCGTGAAATACACAGCAGTATGAAAATTCGGCTGCGTGAAACACACAAACTTCACGCATGCGTGGAGTGTATGGAGTGTACGGGAGTGATTCACGCAATGGTGCGAATAGTCACGACCTAATATGTAACCTTAAAGGAATTCTTTTTGTTACGGTTTCATACAAAAAAATTAAAAATAAGGAATAAAAGTTAAGATGAGGGAACAATGAAATACAGCCCATCAATTCGTCGTATGTACACAATTTTATTAATATAAAAAATAATTCAATCACCTCCAGTTATGCAGTTGCCACGTGTTTCTTCCCAAATCGACGAAAACTGAAATTCGGGAGATAACGAAGGTCCCCATCCCACTGTCTGAGCATTTCGCATTGTGCAGAATTCAGAATATTGGGAATTTCTGCAAAAAAAAATGAAAAATCTGAATTTCCCATAAAATTCCAAATCCAAAAATAATTATCAATTCATTAATTGTGAATATTTATATCAAGTTAATAGAATATTATCTACGAGAGATTGCATGTAATATTAAATTTTAGACAATAATACGGCTTAGGAATATTATGATGATGTCCCAGACAGAAAAATATATATTCTGAAAATTATATGTTTTATATATGGAATTGGCCTGATTTATGCATAAAAGTTATATAAAATATCAATTTATATATATATTTCATATATATCTTAATAATATTTTTTTAATATATTCTATAAAATATATATGAAACACATCAATGTATATTTTACATATTTGATGAATATACATTTTATAAAATATATTTAAAAAATATTATTAAAATATATATAAATTTATATTCTATATAAATGTTATATATATTCGAAGAAAGTATTAAACTGGCCTACATTATACATATTTTTAATATATTTTTCCACAGGAGTTATGTGATGAGGATTAGATGTGAGATATCAAGTTCATCGAATTTATTTGTGTCCAGTTGTCTCTGTGACGAATTGTCGTGTTAAACAGTCGTCTTCAAATGTCTTTTGTCTATTATTCCTGGAACCCAGCCCCCTGATTGGAAACTGAATAAAATACCTATTCCAGCCCCATTGTACTCCTCCACCTCCCTCTCCTTCGTCATCCTCAGGACATCCTCTCGACTCGTGTGACTCCTATTCTTCTTTCCCAGTTTGCTCTCAACAATCTTGGCCATCTCCTCGTCGTGTCTCGCAATGTACCTGCAGAAAGCGATCAATAAATCTCACCGATCTCCGGTGTAATGACCGTTCATTAGATCGAAATTGAATTTGCCTACTTCTCGAGCAATTCACCAGTCAGACTTGCTGGGTAAGGGCACACGTCTGGCACCATATGCTCACGCATCCACAGCATTTTTTCTCGTATCAAGTTCTGTTTCATTGAACCGGTTTGCTTTGCATTCTCTCTGTTTAACGCTCTGTAATTACGCAGATTATGTAACAATGAAGGATGTAAAAAATTTCATTAATCATGGAGAAAGCTCTCGTACTTTTTACTCTTCTTGGCTATTGCCAGAATTTTTCGACTGTTTGGGTGCAGCATTTTCTTCTGTTTGGATAATTCCCTCTTCATTATTGCTGACTGAAACAGCGAATGGAAAATTTGTAGATTGTTCGTGAGAATTTACTGAAATTGCAATTTAATTTCATTCATTCATTCATTTATTTCTGCAATTTAATAGGGGAGGATGGGGTAAAATGGACTCTTGACTTTTTTTTAAATGTTCATAACGTGCTGAATTGTTCATGAAATGGAGTAATTTTATTTTTTAATTGAAAGAACAATGATTCCTCTTTGTGATGAGCTTAGACTGAGGTCAACTGATAAATCTGTTTCTGAGTTATGAATATTTTTTAAAAAGTCAAGTGTCCATTTTACCCCACCCTGTCCTACATGGTATTATTCATGCAGATAGTGATTGAACTAATTGGAAACAAAAATGAATGAATGAATGGAATTTAATTATTACATGGGAATAAGTAGAAATGAGGCAAAATTCAGGTGAATGATATTGAATTTTTGTTATATTTCCCATCACCTTTTGCTCGATTTGTTTCTGTAACTTTTTGATGGAATATATTCTATGAAATTAATTATTTGAATTTGTTTTTTAAATTTTCCAAGTTTTTTCGTTTGAGCTTTTAAATAAAAATCGAAGAAAAATGAAGTGGAGAAAGCATGGGAAATTTATACAAAAATGTTTTAATAAAAAATATTGTATGGAAAGACGAAATTCTGCAGATTTTCTCCATAAAATAGTTTCTATTTCACATTTTCGTAAAAAAATAACACAAAATCTGTGGAATTCTCCACTAGAATTCCAGAAGCTCAGCAGGAGTTCAGCAGAAATCCAATAGAATTTACAAAAAATTTTTTTATTCCAGTTTACGATTAAAATCGCACATAATTTGAGAAATTCTGAAAATCCATTGAAATCGCAATTTTTTCATTTCCCCTGAATTCAATTCAATAACCTCGCTAATTCATTCCATCACAATTAAATAATCAATTGAATAAGTCTACGCACTTACCATTTTCGGAAAATACACTCAACTTTTTTACTGAATCTACAGAAAAACTTAACCTGAAAAATAATTATCTACAATTTCCACTAGTTTATCACGTTCCAATCACTTCACTTATTCGATAACAACGGAATTACGAATTGACAATGGCAAATAAACAAAACCTGCAGCTGTGGACCACGTGCTCTGGCCCCGAAGAAGAGAAATTAGTTGTTTTCGAGTCGCTGACATGCAATAAACGATCAAAAAATCCATCTGTGGAGGCCTGTGGGTACTTCAATACTCACTAACTACCTTATCGACTCCATGACGTCAGGAGACTTCCCTGTGTGTCCACATAACCCCAAAATTGAGGACAACACACGTCCCACGTGTTTCCACTGTCAAAACTCGTCTCCGAATTTTCGTAGTCACTTCACTTGGCTTCACTGAAAAATTGAGAAATCCACTGCCCCGAATAATCAATTGACTAGCAAAAATGTCGACAGTAATCAGTGAGAGTCAGTTCAGTGACGCGAGTGACACGGAGGACCCTAGGAATCCCAGGTAAACTCATAAAAATCATGACAATATCGTTGCACGATATTACATAAAGCAACTTCGTTGCTTCTGAATCAATACAATACTCGATTTTTCAGTTCAATTACTCCATGAAAATTCGGAAAAATCAGGAACATTCAGGGAAAAATTGAGAATTCATGTAATTTTGTTGCTGAATATTCATAGGGGAGAATGGGGTAAAACGGACACTTTTGACTTTTTTTTAAATATTAGTGACGGGTTGAAATATTGATGAAACTTAATCTTTTTTTTTTCAATACGAAGAACAATTCTTTTCCTTTCTGATGAGCCTAAACTGAGCTCTATTGATCCATTCGTTTCTGAGTTATGAATAATTTTAAAAAAGTCCAAAGTGTCCATTTTACCCTACCCTCCCCTATTTATAACTCAGAAACAAATTTATCAATTGAGCTCAGTTTAGGCTCGTCACAAAGAGAAACACTCGTTCTTTGTATTGAAAAAAAAATTTTTATCAACATTTCAACCCCTCATTAACATTTAAAAAAAAAGTCGAAAGTGTCCGTTTTACCCCAACCTCCCCTATTCTATAGAAAATTCAACCAAATTGTGAAATTTCCGTGTCACTCTCACTGAGAAGTCATGAATTTCCCTGAACTTCACCTAAAACGTGAAATTTTATACCATTATTCCCCTAAATCTGAGTCATTGTCACTCTCGTGAGAATTAGGGGAGGCTGGGGTAAAACGGACACTTTTGACTTTTTCTAAAATATTAATAAGGGCTTGAAATGTTGATAAAATTTGATATTTTTTTTTCTCAATACAAAGAACAATTCTTTCCCTTTGTGACGAGCCTAAACTGAGCTCAATTGATCAATTTGTTTCTGAGTTATGAATAATAATAAAAAAGTCTAAAGTGTCCGTTTTACCCCACCCTCCCCTACTACCATATTTTCCATGAAATTTCGAAAAATTTCTGAGTGTAGGTAGCTCGGAGGCTAGAGCCACTTTAACCAATCACTAAAAATTCCCTGAAGTGGTAAAATCTCAATTTCCTTTTTTTTCTCAGTGTCCACTCATCAATTGGCAAGCCAGCATGGCTGCAGGCCCCTCCCGACCCCCAGGCCCCCCCAGACATGGCAGACCTCGGCCTGGGGAACTCGAGCGAGGGCGACGACTGCCTGGACCTCAGCGAGGACGAGTGGGACCTCGAGGAGTCCTCAGGCCCCAACAGGCCCAGGACCCAGTCCTCCCACTCAAACACTCAAGCAGCCTCCAACAAGGTCTCCAGCTTCCAGCCCTCGGACAAGCTTTTTCGACGCTACTCCAACAAAATTAATATCGAGAAGTACGAGGGCCCCTCGCTGCCCCACGGTGCAGCCAATGTTCTCATCGAGAACAACAAGAAATGCGATAAAGACAGATTACGACGCAAAGACAAGCACGATCGTGCCACTGTCGAGCAGGTGATGGACCCCAGGACTCGAATGATCCTCTTCAAGATGCTCAATCAGGGGATCATCATGGAGATCAATGGCTGCATCTCCACTGGGAAAGAAGCTAATATTTATCATGCAACGTCGAAGACTGGCGTCGAGTTTGCCATTAAGATTTATAAAACTTCGATTCTGCAGTTCAAGGTGAGATGAAAATTCAATTTATTTGTAATTTAATTCAATTATAAATTAAATTGATATTTAAATTAAAATATATTATGTGTATTATTTTAATTAAATTAACATTTAATCCAGTTTAATTCATAATTGAATTAAATTTCTATTGAAAGTCTATAAGAATTGTATTGGAGTTCTACTCGAATTGTTATTGAAAAATTCAATTTTTTTAGGCATTTTGTCAAGAGATATTCGATAGGAAAAAATCAGATTTTTATTTTTCTTTAAAAATTCCCATTCATAAATTTTCCAATTAAAAAATTATTATTATATTTTACTGAAACGAATTATTGTTATTTCAAAATAATTAATTTTTTCAGTTTTATCATTATTATATTTTATTATTATTACTACACCAAAAAAAATTTAATCAAATTAAAATTAATGAATTAATTTAATTAATTGTCCCATTCTATTTCGATTTTCTTCTCAACCTAAAATCCAAGAAAAAACAACTTGGAAAATTCTTGTTCATGAATTCTCCTAAAATTCCGGAGTAAATCAATAAAATTATCCAACAGAATTCAAGTAAAACTAAAAATTAGAAGATCTCGAATTTTCTGTTCATTTTATTCGCACGCGTAATTAACATCACTCATATAATTAAACATTAACGTAAGTAATTTTCCCTCTTGTAAAGGACAGAGACAAGTACGTGACCGGTGAATTCAGGTTTCGTCACGGTTATTGCAGACACAATCCCCGGAAAATGGTGAAGACGTGGGCAGAGAAGGAGATGAGAAACCTGATAAGACTCAATCAAGCTGGTATCAAGAGTCCAAAGCCAATTATGCTGAGGAGTCATGTTCTGCTGATGGACTTCATTGGGAGCGAGGGTTGGCCTGCTCCCAAGCTCAAGGACGTTCTCCTGAAGTCATCAGCCCCCAGAAAGCTGTACAGAGAGTGTGTGGAGATGATGTGGAGGCTTTACAATAAATCGAGACTCGTTCACGCAGATTTGAGTGAATACAATCTGCTGCATCACGAGAATTCCATTGTCGTTATCGACGTGTCTCAGGCAGTGGAGCACGATCATCCGATGGCCCTGGAGTTCCTCAGGAAGGACTGCAATAATATCACGGAGTTCTTCAAGAAGAACGGGGTCGCTGTGATGACGGTCAAGCAGTTGTTCGATTTCATCACTGATCCCACTGTCTGTGAGGGGAATATGGATGATTACCTGGATGCTGCTGCTGAGAGGACTGCCAGGGAGGGGAGGGGGGAGGTTGACCACGAGCGGGAGGTGGAGGAGGAGGTGTTCAAGCAGGCGTATATTCCGCAGAATCTTGCACAGGTGGGTGTATTGATGATCACGTTAAGAAATTCAATTGCAAAGGAAAACTGAGCTCAGTTTTTCAGGGATATCTCGGGATCTAAGGGAGATAGCGAAATTTTTGTAATTACCTTTTTTGTAGAGCGCATTGAGGGCTACAAAAAAGGTTATGACAAAAATTTTGATATCTGCGGTAGATTTCGAGATATTTAGTGAAAACTGAACAATAGTCGAAAACTGCTTAAATTGTTTTACTTTAAAATTCTTTTGGACTTCTGTTGAAAGTTTTATTAATTTTTGGGTAATTCTGTTGAAGAATTCCACAGGTTCACTGGGCCTTTGTTTCTAGTAGAATTGGTTCTTTCTATGCAAGTTTTTCTGTAGGAATTCCTCGACATGAATTTTCTAATGGTTTTCCACTCATTTTTCCTCTCTTTTCATTAAAAAATTGAACAAAAAAATGTGGGAAATTTGCAGGTGATCGATGTAGAACGAGATATCAAACTAGCCAAATCTGGAACCGACAATTTAATATACAAAACCCTAGTTGGTCTCCGCGCAGACTTGAAAACAGCGGAAAAACCTGAAATTCTTGATGAACATTCAGAAAATAGTGAGGATGACTCAGACGTCAGTGAAGACGAGTCGAGTGACGAGTCAGGGGGGGAATCAAAATTCGTTAATGCATCGAGGCCCAAGGACGAAACCCCAGAAGACAGAAAGGTAAAGAGAATTCCCCCATCACAATTCGACTATTACTCCAGTAACTATTTGTTAATTCATCACTTCTCACCAATTATTTTCATTTCAGTTGAGGAAAAAAGCAGTGAAAGAGCAGCAGGCAGAAAAAAGAAAGTCAAAGATAAAGAAGCACGTGAAGAAGAGGAAAGAGAGGATTCAGAAGAAGAAATAATGAGTAAATTTTTTTTTATTATCATTTTTTTTTCAAATAATTACTTCATGGAGGTGAGGGCATTACCATGTACTTCACGGGAGTAAAATAAAGTGAGAAAGAATGACGTTATAAGTACACTTGGGAGTTGCCTCAGAGAAACAGTTCTTTAGGCAATTGTTCACGTGTGGGAAAGCTCGGTTGTGTCCCTGGTTTAAGTACACTCTGTCTGGCAACTTGACAGGCTCTACTGATCTGTTCCTTCAGGGATAACTGAGGGTAGTAAGCCAGGAAGAACCCTAGAGCCCCCAAAAATGCATCTCCAGCCCCCTAAAAACATATTGAAAGAAATGTATTCATGAATTCATGAGGAAATGTTATTTAATCTAGCTAATTTCATTTTTAGACAATGGAATGAATGAATAATATTCGACAATAGTAATTAATATCGGAATTGATTATTAAAAAATGTGTTTTCATTTTATGCTTAATTAATCAATGAGATTAATCACTGAGATAATCAGAGAAACGTAAAATAAGATTGTAGAATTTAATTATTCAGTTTTATCACTGATTTTAATCGTGTTATTTTGACATTACCGTTGTGTCTACAGGGGTGACAGGCTCCACTGGTACATGGGTTAAGGTTTGAGATATTTTAGTTGCAAAAACAGCACCAGAAGCACCTAATGTTATTATGACAGTGTTACAATCCTTTTCGAAGAGAATATTCAAGGCACTTTGGACATTTTCCAGGGTTAGACGGTCGATTCCTGTCATGAGTTCTGCCTGAAATTCAGAGAAATTAATTGATCAATTCATGCAATTATTTTCATTAATTAATTTACATAATGATTAATTAAGGAAATTAATGAATTTTAATTATTAATTTACAAAATTCTAATGATGGAATCATGACTTTTTTTATTGGCATGGAATTATTTGAATTTTAGGGGAGAATGTAATGAATATTTTTCATTAATTCTGTCAACTACAGACGTACCAAAAAAAATTATATAAAAACCTAACGAGTTTCAACAAAAAAAAATTTCTAAATTAATTCAACGGAAAAATTGTATAAAAAGATGAAATTCTACATGTTTTTTATAAAGTCATTCCTATCGAACACATTCTAAAAAAAATCCCCAGTAAATTGGCGCAATTTTTCAATAGAATCGACCAAAAATTAATAAAAATCTCAATACAAGTTCAATTAAAATTCAGTAGAATTTTTTATGAAATGCGCCAGGTTTTCCTATGAATTTTTTTCGTGCATAAAATATGAATAAATTACCTCAGTCTCATTGACACAAAAAATATCACAGTTCTTCAGAATCTCAGGGTTGGGATTAGCAACAGCGGGTGCGCCATTGACAATTGAAATTCCTGCACGCAGTCGAGAGGATCATATTAATGAGGGACACTCCTGCTTGATTTGCGTGGAAAGGATTTTTACATTACCGCAGCCTTTGTAGAGTTTCAATGCGTGCAGAGTGGTGTCCAGACTCGTTTCGAATTGTGCGAGCAGCACTGAGGCATTTTTTATTGTTTTTTCGGCCTCGTCCACGTCGCTGGGGCTCAGTAGGGCGTTCGCTCCGACGACTATCACTATGCTATTCTCTCCTGGGGATGATAATCTATTTAGATTTTTTTTTTGAGGCCTCGTAGTCGAATGAAGCAATTTTTTAATTAGGAATTCACGATTTTTACCACTTTCAGCTACTGTTATGTGAGCAATTCCACTTGTGACGTTCTCTCGTACTTTCACGTGCTGAGTATTGACTTTGTTGGACTTCAGGATGTCCAGGTACTCCTTACCGAAGATGTCAGAACCCAGCTGGGGTTTTAAATGATTCAATTCAGTAGCGAAGGGTCAGTTTTTAATTAATATCTCTGAATCCAAGGGAGATAGCGAAATTTTTGTCATGACCTTTTTTGTAGCTCTCAATTCGCTCTACAAAAAAGGTCATAACAAAAATTTTGATATCTCCCTTAGATTCACAGATATTCCTCGAAAACGGGATTCAATAATTGAATTATTTTGCTAGGATAGTAATAAATTGATTGGAACTACGATTTTAGGTTCATCGTGATGAATTGTTGGTTCGAGTTGATTATTTTTACTTCATTACTAGAGTATTTCCTGCATATGAAGTAGATTTTTTTTTCACGAATGAATGTTAGAGAAAAAAAAATTGAAAGTTGAATAAAATTTCTGAATTGAACTGTTTGAATATTCTCATTACAAATATTTCAGGAAATTTGAATGGAAGATATTGCAGGCAAAATTCTTCTGATTCCCAATTGTTTAATATTTTATTTGGGACGTTATCCTGTTATTTTATCTGGGATGTTTTTGGAATTTTGTCTTTACCGATGCAACAATGGCTGTTTCTGCGCCAAGCTTTGCTGCAGAGACACATTGATTCGCCCCCTTTCCTCCAACTGTCCTCCTGAAGTCTGTTCCAATCAGTGTTTCACCAGGTTTAGGCAATCGGGGTGAATAACTGCAAGAAAATAATCTCATTTTCAAAAATTCTTTTGTTTTTTTTTCGACCGTTTTTGTAATTTCATTTTATTTTATTTCAGTTTATTTCATTTGATTTTATTTCATTTCTTAATTTTATTATCATTTGATTTAATTTCATTATTAAAATTACATCAAATAAACTAAAATTAAATAAAATGAAATACAATTCATTTTATTTTATGAAGATTTTATGAAGAGTATAGGATGAAATTAAATACACAAAGTTTGTGCATTTAAAAAAAAAACAAACAATCATAATTTTTGGAGACTCCAGGGCTCCGTAAAGCAAAATAACAACTGCAGAACATTTAAAATGATCAAAATAAAAAAAACAACCGAGATAACGTTCGAAAGATAAGAAAGGCAGGTCTTAACTCATTAATTTCAGAATTTACTATTTGGAAAAGGTGATTGCAGAAGTCCTCTGTAATTATGATAATGACTAGGCAACATCAAGGGAATTTATCGATGGGAAATCTCAGCTTTAAAAAATTACAGAGATGAAGGCTTAACGAATAAATGATTTTTTGTGAATGAAACATGAAATATCCAGCCCCCTGCAACTGAAATAATTCACCTGGTGAAGTCAATCATGCAGGAGCCGACGACGACGATGTACTTGGACATTTCTTCCCTCAGACTTCCGAAATTCGCTGATCTATGATATTTTTAGTTTTTTTTCTGAGGAGCTTCGACCGATGGATCCGGACGCCGAGTGAACTCTGCGGGCGTTTTTATCCCCAAAGTAATGCCAGATACCAGAAAAATTGTGCAAGACGACGAGTGCAAATTTCTTATCATCTTATCTTCTTCGGAGGGAAATACACGCGTCTCGACTGTCAATACTAAACAAACAAAACGACGAGTTTGATCGTATTTTTTTCATTACCTTGTCGTTCGTTGCGGACTCATTGTTGTCGCCGCTGTCCGTTGACTGGTCGTCGGTGCCTTTGGGAGAATATTTCAAACTCAACAATTGATCGAGAAAAAAATTTCACATTTTATTGAAGAGGAATTTTTTTATTCAAAGAGATTTTTTTTTTTTTGAAATGGAAGTCTGGAAAAATTAATTATTCTTGAAAATAATTTTATAAACAAAAAGGAAAAATCATCCATTAATTTTGCATTTAAAAAACGAGACTTCAACCACTCAAAGAATTAATTTATTAGTTCGTCATCATCTCATTTACATAAAAATCCCCCCCCCCATATCTCTCTCGATCACATAATTAATCTAATTAAAATCTATTCAAAGCAAATGAAAAGCATTCATTAACATCCTCTAAACAGCTAATGATCAAAGCTTACAAGACAGGCATATGAAATGGTAAAACGCTACAAGTTAATTTTGACTATTGACCAGTTTTTAATGAATATCTCAGAATCGAAGGGAGATGGCAAAATTTTTGTTATAACTTTTTTTGTAGAGCCGATTGAGAGCTACAAAAAAAGTAATCACAAAAATTTCGCTATTTCCCTTAGATTCGGAAATATTCCTCAAAAACTCAACCGGGAGATAAGTCGACTTAAACCATTTACCACTTCGTTACTGAATTCCCAAAAATCAAATATATTTTACATTAATTTTAATTAAAAAACAAGAATTCCACTACTCAAACAATTAATTCATCAGCTCGTCAAAATCTCTCAACCACTTACACAAAAATCCATTTATTAAAATCTACTCAAAGCAAATGAAAAGCATTCGTTAACATCCTCTAAACAGCTAATCATCAAAGCTTACAAGAGAGGCATATGAAATGGTAAAACGCTACAAGTTAATTTTGACTATTGACCAGTTTTTAATGAATATCTCAGAATCTAAGAGAGATGGCAACATTTTTGTCATAACTTTTTTTGTAGAGCCGATTGAGAGCTACAAAAAAAGTAATTATAAAAATTTCGCTATTTCCCTTAGATTCGGAAATATTCCTCAAAAACTCAACCGGGAGATAAGTCGACTTGAACCATTTACCACTTCGTTACTGAATTCCCAAAAATCAAATATATTTTACATTAATTTTAATTAAAAAACAAGAATTCCACTACTCAAACAATTAATTCATCAGCTCGTCAAAATCTCTCAACCACTTACACAAAAATCCATTTATTAAAATCTACTCAAAGCAAATGAAAAGCATTCATTAACACCCTCTAAACACATCATCAAAGCTGGGACTCTTGGCCCCTGATCTCCTGTAAAGCAGCAAATCCAGGAATTCCCACATCAGGACTCGAATAATTCCCAGCAGCTCCCGAAGGGTTGATCTTCTCGAAGCACGAGATGACCCAGACGTAGAGAATGGCCGCGTAAAAGACGATTGAGAAGAACAGCTGGAACTCCTCGAGGGTGTTCTGTACGCCCTCCATCCAGCCCTCGAAGCCCTCGTTGAGGTAGGAGAGGGCCATGGAGGCGTCAGCGCTGACGTCGGGGTCCTCTCGATCGAGGAGCTTGGTGAGGGCTGGCAGGGCCATTCTCACCACTGCGAACGGGGGTGGAGACCTGTCGTGTCTGCACACATTGGCGATTGTCCTGATGATGTTCCTGGTGAAGGCCACTGAGGTGTCTGGCTTGATGAGCCTCAGGAGGAGGGGCATGCAGTTGTAATCCAGGACTCTGTCGCGGGCCTCGGGGCTGTCCCCGGCGATGTTACCCAGGACCCAGGCCGCCTGCTCAGCCACTTCGGGGACTGGGGACTTCAGGAGCTCCACCAGCTTGGGGATGGCCTTGTGGTTAATCACGTACATCGTCTGCTCGGATGTGCCGGCGGTGACGTTGGTCAGCGCCCAGAGGGACTCGAACTGGAGGGCGGGGTTGTGGTGGGCAGACAGGAAGTCGATGCAACGGGAGACGATGCCCTTGGCGATCAGCATGTCGGTGGGGGGGTCCTCGGTGTAGCAGTCCAGGAGCTGTCTGCATGCCTGGGCTGCGTGAAATTGCTCGGTCTCGTCGGCACTCCTCATCACGTCGACGATCAGGTCCGTTAGGAGGGCTGTTGGGAAGCAGTAGGAGCTGTCCATCGGCAGGCTCACTTTCGGGAGCTTTGCTGGGAGGTTGCAGTGGTTCACCTGCACTAGCTCCATCGATGTTTCCTGGGGGAGAAGGTAATACATTAATTATATTATGTTATATTATATTATATAATATTATATTATTATAATATTATATTATATTGTATTATATTATATTAGGGGAGGGTGGGGTAAAACGGACACTTTAGACTTTTTTTTAATTACTCATAACTCAGAAACAAATTTATCAATGGAGCTCACTTTAAGCTCATCACAAAGGGCAAAAATTGTTCTTTGCATTGAAAAAAAATTATTAAATTTCATCACCATTTCAACCTGTCATCAACATTTTTAAAAAAGTCAAAAGTGTCCATTTTACCCCCATCTCCCCTATATTATATTATATTATATTATATTATATCATATCATATTATATTACATTATATGATATTATTTTTTATTTTGTCTACCCATTATAATTGAAGGATGTCCAAATATCCTTTACAGTTTGGTACAAACAAAACTATAGGTTCAACCATTTTTAATCATCGAATGTGTCAATTAAAATTGCATGAGAAAAGTTTGAAAGCAAAATCATGAATAATAAAAATTATTAATTTTTTAAATGGTCGTTGTTTGTAAAATAACGAATAAATAATTTAAATTATGTATTGTTAATTATGTAATAATGTAAATTGTTTAAACTTTCGAAATCTTAATTTTTTTAAAGCGTGGCAAAAATTGCGATTTTTTAATCTAGTTTATTAATCCTTCTACGAAACTAAATTCTCTAATTTTTTTTTTATTTTAAAAGTGTTTTTGAACGGTTCAATAGCGAGATTTGTTGGAACGACATTTTTAAGTAAATAAATACGTAATTGTTGTTGGGGTAGTAATTGGAAAAAATGGAATTTTCACATTTTTTTATTGAATGATAAAATAGTGAAAGTGAAGCAGATAAATTATTATCCGGTTAATTAGGTGAGGAGAATGAAAATTAAATGTGAAGTTTATAGTAATTTTGCCATTCTTTAAGAAATTTCGTTAAAAAAACTTCTGCTGTATTCTCGTGAAATTATCAATTAAAATGATTAATTTAAACAATTATAATTTTTAGTTTTTATTCTTATTTAATTAAAAATTAAAATTAGATCAAGTATTTTGAACAGTAGAAATATTAAATTTTCAATAACCATGCCATTATTTTCGTGGCGAGCAGTTTTGAGAAAAAAAATTGAAAAACTTTTTTTTATGAAAAAAAGTCAATAAAAATTTTGGAACGTCTTCTAATATTTCTTCTCATTCTCGAAATAATTGAGCATTAAAAACGATGTGAATAATGTCCACTGGTTTTCAATAATTCAATATCCACGATCAATTCCAATTTTCAATAATTACGCTATTATTTTCAGGAAGAGCAAAAATTGAAAAAATAAGTAAAAAAAATTAAAGAACGTTTTTCAATGAAAAAAAATCCTCAATAAAAGTTCGGAATGTCTTCTGATATTTCTTCTCATTCTCGAAACAATTGAGCATTAAAAACAATGTGAATAATGTCCACTGATTTTCAATAATTCAATATCCACGATCAATTCCAATTTTCAATAATTACGCTATTATTTTCAGGAAGAGCAAAAATTGAAAAAACAAGTTAAAAAAATTAAAGAACGTTTTTCAATGAAAAAAAATCCTCAATAAAAGTTCGGAATGTCTTCTGATATTTCTTCTCATTCTCGAAACAATTGAGCATTAAAAACGATGTGAATAATGTCTACTGATTGTCGATAATTAATTATCCATGGACAATAGATATTTTTAATTACCTTGGATTCAGAAATTGCGTTTATTTCCTGTGTCGACATGGTATCAGTCATCGGCTCAACGAAATAATAGACACAAATGCGATTCAGACAATTTCAGATATTTCCGTAATTACACTTTGAATTTCAAGCTTCGACTGAGTGATTTGAGGGTCACGGTCGGTCTTATAAGCACTCGGAAGGCTGACGGTCAGGGTTGGGGGATGGGGAGAGAGATGGGCCCGAGCGGTGATTGGGCCCGAGGGGTTCCACTCCCCAGTTATTGAATTCGGACGAGTGAAAATTGCCGCACTCAATCGTAATTCAATATTCACATCGATCTGATACGATTGCTTGTTTCAATTTCACTCGAACACCCGATTATTTCAATCATCTGTTTAAATGAGGAAAGAAAAACTGGATAATTATTCATAAATCGAAGCGAACTATCCTATAGAAATCGAATTGAAGTTCTATTTCTTTTTTTATTTCACATCTCGACTATTTCTATAAGATGAAATAAATTTTTTTCTTCAAAATAAAAATAATATAATAAATATAGAAGAGAATATTCACGAATTGCAATTTTTTTTTCAGTTTTTGATCGAAAAAAAAATCGTTTATCTAATCTATCTTAATAAAACATTGAAAAACGTCTTTAAATTTACAGAAATTGTTTGACTTCATGTCCTCCATTCCCGCAATAATTTCTTGAAATTTTTATCCAGTACTGTAATTTTTTTAAATAGAACTATTCAAATATTTTATTCAGGATAATTCATGAATTTAAAATATAAATCATTTTAAATAGAGTATCCCAGATTAAAAATGTTTAAATAGTAGTTTATCTGCAATTTTCAATAACTCCGAAATGTCTATCAATTTATAATATTTTAAATACTAATTAAAATAGTATTTTACGTGAAATAAAATATCAACGTGATTTTTTTTCTTTGCAGACGAATAAAATACGGAAAAATCCAGCGAATTGGCCGGAAAATTCTATTCGATTTCTATTAAAATTTCTATTATTTTTCTCAAATTCATTTCCAACTGGATTTTTTTCTTTTTGTGTACGAATAAATTCAACAGAAATATCCAACGAATTGTCTATAAAATTCCGTTGCATTTCAATTGAACTTCCCATTACCATTCTTTAAAAATTTACGTTCCACTTAATTTTGTCTATTCGCATACGAATAAAATTACCGAAAAAATCCAGCGAATTGTCTAGAAAATTCTATTGAATTTCCATTGACCTTTCTTTTCGATTTTTTAGCCAATTCTCTAGGACAAAATGTCAAGGGTATTTTAAAGCTGATTAAGTTCTCCGTCAGAATTAATCGAAATAAATCTATTAAAATGATGAAAGCCCTTAAATCCTTAAATATATCCCCTAAAATCACGAATTACTCATCCATTTGCACCGGCTTACCACTTCCCTACCGGTTTACATGACCCCAGAGAGCAATTTATCCAGGAAGACCCCCGAGTTCACTCGAAGATTTCCATTTACGACGGCCCATGAATGCGAGAGGAACGGACATTTTCATATTGAGGATAATAATTAGTCTGGAAGGGGCGCAGGTAACGGGATTAGTTCGATCCCTTCTCCATTAATGACAATTGGGGCATTTTCCCGAAGTGTTGAGCGCCGAGTAAATGCCCACTCGAAATGTAAACAATTTCTGGGAATTACCCGGTGTCATAATAAACAACCGTAAATTCACAGAAGACAGAGGGGTAGAGGTCCTTCAGGTAATATTGTAAACGTTCGCACTGAATATTTTTGTTTATTACCCGTGGAATAATCTCGAAGAATTGCCATTTTGGGAGAAATTGTGAGAACTTTTTTTTGCAGTCCACCGAATTGTGGGAGATTTTTTTTATACTGTAGTTATTCTGGGGGAACCCGGCAGATGTTTCAATGTTCAAGTGAAGGGGAAGTCAATAGATAAATTTGTCGGATTTATATTGATAAATTCCGCAGCTTCACTGCCCGTTTGCTATAGAAAATCTCGAATGAAAATTATTTTATCGAAAAAATCAGGAGAATTTCATATTTCTACACAACTTTTGTGGCTATTATATTAGAATATATAAACTATTGTGACATTTTCTATAGGAATTCCTCGACATGAATTTTCCACGTTTTTTCCACTTTCTTATTCTTTTCATTAAAAAATCAACCAAAGAAGCTCGGGAGATCCAAGCCAAAGAATTTTCGTAAAAAAATTTCTCTATACAATAAATTGTATTGAAAAATCTAATTCGACGGATTTTTGCTATAGAATATTTTCCGTTAAACATTTCTATATAATTTCGTTGGCTCAAATTTTCCAAGTGTTCTTCATTCTGATTGTCTTTTCTTTTCATCAAGAAATCTATGGAATTATAGAATTCAAAATTTTTTCTTCTACAGATTGAACAAAAAAAATCTATAGAATTCTATAGATTTTTGGTTAAATTTTATTGATGATAAGAAAATGAGAATGAAAAAAACTTGTAAATTTGAGCTGACGAAATTCTATAGAAAATATCTCAATAGAATAAATTCTCCAGAAAAATCGAATTCTATCGACTCTTTCATCAAGAAATCTATAGAATATCTATAGAATTCTAGATTTTTTGTTCTACAGATTGAACAAAAAAAAATCTATAGAATTCTATAGATTTCTTTGATCAATTTTTTTGATGATAAGAAAATTGGAATGAAAAAAACTGGAAAAATTTGAGCTGACGAAATTCTATAGAAAATATCTTAATAGAATAAATTCTCCAGAAAAATCGAATTCTATCGACTCTTTCATCAAGAAATCTGTAGAATATCTATAGAATTCTAGAATTCTAGATTTTTTGTTCTACAGATTGAACAAAAAAAATCTATAGAATTCTATAGATTTCTTTGATCAATTTTTTTGATGATAAGAAAATTGGAATGAAAAAAACTGGAAAAATTTGAGCTGACGAAATTCTATAGAAAATATCTCAATAGAATAAATTCTCCAGAAAAATCGAATTCTGTCGACTCTTTCATCAAGAAATCTATAGAATTCTAGAATTCTAGATTTTTTGTTCTACAGATCGAACAAAAAAAACCTATAGAATTCTATAGAACTGAACAAAAAAATCTATAGAATTCTATAATTTCTTTGATCAATTTTTTGATGATAAGAAAATTGGAATGAAAAAAACTGGGAAAATTTGAGCTGACGAAATTCTCTAGAAAATATCTCAATAAACCAGAAAAATCGAATTCTATTGACTTTTTCAATAGAATATTTTTTCCAGAATATTTCAGTAGAATCTAAGAGAAACTAATAGAAAGTTCAATAGAAATCCAATAGAATTGTCTAGCGGATTCGCTAGATTTCCTCAAATATCGTCTTCCTCGTAGGGAAGAAATAGAAAGCATCGACGATATTTTCCCAGAAAATATCAAATATTTTTCATCACCCCGTCGTTCATTGGGGACTGCTCATTCTGTCACTCCAATCTGTTGAATTGAATTGTCGTGCGAATAAAAACATGGATGCGTCGTTGTTGTCGAAGTTGGAACACAATTTCAATATTAATATCTGAGTTGAACAAACAAATAATCGTCAACATGTAGTCCACTGAGTTAAAACATCTTCGAATGAAGTATCCTCGCTTCAGGGTCATTTTGTATTGGATTTTTACTGTGAAAAATTGTGCACCAAGTATCGCGGTTTCATTCCTAACCTCATTCACTCGATGATATTTACACCGTGTTTGTATTAATTAATTGTACATTGGAATGCGAGATTCATATTTGTAGAATATTTTTTGTAATAATTATTGTACATTTGAGGGGACGAGGCAATTTTTTTTTCGGAGCAGAATGTCTGTCGAATCGTGTAAGGACAGACAGAATAATGAATTCGAAGTACTCAAGGTGAGAATTTTAAGGTTTATCAATTGTTTATAAATTAAATTCGAAATTTCGTTCGGTTTTCGCATATTAAGGGTTTCAACAGAGAAGTCTTTAGGCAGTTCTATTCGTTTTCTTTTGATATTCTCTTGCAATTCTATTTCAGATTTTTATCAATAATCAGGGGATTTTATTTTTCACTGAATTTTTTCTTACGGGATTTTCCAATTATTCGATTCATGATCAATTGACAATTTTTATTATTCATTAAATTGTTCATTTTTATTCATCGAGAGTTTCTAATGAAAAAACAGAATGGAAAAATCAACATCTATTTATTTTTTTGTATTGAAGTTGACTCTCTCGAAATAAAATGATATCTCTATTTGCCAATTTTTTGTGAATGCTCCGAAATTATTTTCAGGAATTGTTGTCAAGGTTTATCGATTGCTCATCTCCACATATTAACATGAGGAATTTCTAATGAAAAAACAGATCAGAATAAATTATGCAGAAAAAACCAAATTTCAAATTTCAAAAAGTAAATTAATTAATTAATTTTCATGGGTTTTGAAAATAGTTATTTCATTGAAATTGCTTCACTTTCTGCAAATAAAACGAGATCTACATTCATCATTTTTTCTTGAATGCCCCGAAATAATTTACAGGAATTAGGGAATTATTTACAAATAACAATGCATTTGCAGATATAAAAAACTCTCAAGTGTAATTATTTCATTAAGTGTTTACGACCGTTGAAATAAAATCCCCTATCGCGTCAGCAGAAAAATCCTGCTGCAAAATTTCGAAATAATCATTCACCGCGCGGTAGACGTCACCGCAAGAATTTTTAAAAAATCCCGACTGCCAATCACTTTGAAAGATTGTCGTCGCCACCTATTTAATAGAAAAAGGTGACGCATTCGCTCGAAAATTCTGTTGGATTCTATCAAAAAAATCTGTAGTTTATCTTCGTTTTTTCAAAATTGAGCAACAAACTATCTATTTTTGCTTGATTTTTTAAAAGAAAAGAGAAGGAAAACTCTGGACAAAACTCGAAAAATTTGCGTTGCGTAATGCCTATAGAAAATGTCCGAATATAAAACCTATAGAAAGTTGAAATTCCACTGATTTTTTTCGTGAACCGCTGTAGCATTCCGCAACTGCATATAAATCCCCTAGAATTGTCTACCACTTCCCCGTTTTTCCCCTGAATTTCGCGCGCCCGAGTCTCACCCCCGCTTCACCTTTCAGTCAATCTACGGCGACCAACTCCGCGACCTCCGGCGCCCCAAGCCCCACCGAAAATGGCACCCCCTGGACATATCAATGACCCTGACCCCCCAGCGGGGCATGTCCGGTCCCATGGAGGTGCACGCGCAGCTCGACCTGCACACAATTTGCAACGAGAACTACCCGAACCAAATCCCCTCGATAAAATTAAAGAACAGCCGGGGTCTCTCGAACCAGCAAATCGCGCTCCTCTCCTCGGAGCTGGAGGACCTCGCGAAGCGCCTGAAAGGCGAGGTAATGATCCTCGACCTGGCGCAGCACGTGGAGAAGTTCCTCCACGAGAACAACAAGCCGGGCTACAGTTCCTTCTACGAGGAGATGCTGTCGCGTCACCAGGAGAAGACGAAGCAGATTCAAAGCGAAATGGAGGAGAAGCAGCTGAAGGAGGACAAGGAGCGCCAGCTCCTGCAGGACGAGATCCTGAAGCGTCAGGAGGCGCTGAAGGCGGAGCTCCGGAACCGCAAGGAGCCCGCGCGTCGCTGCCACGACTCGACGATCATCCTCTCGCAGTCGATCCCCTCGTCCCCATCAGGCGAGCGCATCCGCACGTACTCCCGCAGAAGATGCATGAGCACCTCGGAGTCCTCGGACGGCGCCTCCCTCTGCGAGCACCGCGGCACGAAGCTCCTGCACTTCGACAACAACCGGGGCGAGCGTCAGGTCCACCGTGGCAAGTGCCTGGGCCACAGCCTCAAGGGCTCAGTGGTCTACGCAGGTGTTGACATGATCACCGGTGAACTGCTCGCCATAACCGAGTGGTCCCTCAAGTGCGGCAGCGCCGGCACCCGCGATACGAGCGACAACGACACGACGAACGAAGCCACCGACCTCCAGCACTCGATGAAGCAGATCGCGAGCATCGAGCAGGAGCTCAACCACCTCCACCGCCTCCAGCACATGAACCTCGTGCGCTACCTCAACATGAAGTACCAGCAGAGCAAGGACAACATCGTCATCTACATTCTGGAGGAGTTCGTCGTGGGTACAACCTGCACATTCTTCCTCTCCGAGAACATTCCAGTGGCGGTGGACATCCTCAGGCACATCGCCAGTGGTGTTCTCTCAGCCCTGGAGTTCCTCCACAACAACAACATCGTCCACAGGGACCTCCGGGACTCCAGCATTCACATCGACAGATGCGGAATGGTGAAGGTGTCCGATTACTCCCTGAACAGGCGACTCTCCGATATTTATCGGTCGAGCTGTCTGGCCAAGGCCGAGCACGACTTCCCGACGATCCAGGGTCGCGGGGGCAAGAAACTCGACATCTACAGGTTCGGGATAATTCTCCTGTCGCTGTTCAAGGGGACCATCATCTCCGAGAAGGAGCAGACGAACGAGTGGGCGACCAATCTCCCCCCGGAGCTGCGGGACTTCCTGTCAAAGTGCCTGAACAACAACGAGAGGTCTCGGTGGTCGGCCGAGCAGCTCCAGCAGCACAGCTTCATCCGGATCCCCATCGAGCGCGGGCTCTCGCCCCCGAAGCTACCTCGCGAGCACGAGCACGACAGCGAGGAGCCCGAGGAGCCCATTCAGGACGTTCACCTCTACCTCCCCGCGACCCTCAACAACTCGAGGATTCAGAACGAGTTCGAGGTGCTCAAGTGGCTGGGCAAGGGCGCCTTCGGCGACGTCATCAAGGTCAGGAACAAGCTCGACGGGGGGATCTACGCGATCAAGAGGATTCCCCTAAACGCCAAGAACAAACAGCTGAACAAGAAGATAACGAGGGAGGTGAAGCTGCTGTCGAGGCTCAATCACGAGAACGTCGTGAGGTACTACAACTCGTGGATAGAATCAGCGACGTTGGACGACCCCAGCAACTCCATGTCCTCGACGAGGGACACCACCAGGGAGGCAACGCCCAACGTCAGCCCTCCGGGGGTCGACCTCCACAGGGTAAATCTCGGAAACAATCACTTGAACAACATCAATCACTTGGACACTGACGACGTGGAGGAGCTGGTGCCGCCCCTGCACGAGGTCGAGTGGAGTCTCTCGTACGAGTCGAGGGCGTCAGCGGCCAAGTCCAATGACTCGGAGGAGTCCGACAGCGAGAGCGAGAGCGACGACGAGGGCTGGGGCTTCTTCATGGGGACTTCACTCTCCACCGACTCCTCAGACAGCATCGAGTTCGAGAGGGACGGGGGTTCCCAGGTGTCGGGGGTCGACGTCAAGTCCCTGGAGGCCGACGAGGGGATCGGGGCTAAGGACCCGGGGAACGACCCTGGGGAGGTGGACTCCCTCAGGGAAATTCAGTTCATGTACATTCAGATGGAGTTCTGCGAGAAGAGCACCCTGAGAACGGCCATCGACAACGGCCTCTTCGAGGACGAGGAGAGGGTCTGGCGGCTGTTTCGGGAGATCGTCGAGGGGATCGCCCACATCCACCAGCAGGGGATGATCCACCGGGACCTCAAGCCCGTCAACATCTTCCTCGACAGCAACGATCACGTGAAGATCGGGGACTTTGGTCTCGCCACTATCGACACGAGAACCGCGAGTGAGCGGAGGGTCCAGGTGGTGGAGAAAACGACGAGCTTCGAGGCCGACGAGCCCAGCTCGATGACGGGAGAGGTCGGCACTGAGCTCTACACGGCGCCCGAGCTCAGCGCAAAGACCGCCAAGGCCATCTACAATCAGAAGGTCGACATGTACAGCCTCGGGATCATTCTCTTCGAGATGTGCTGCGTGCCCCTGGCCACTGGGATGGAGAGGGTCAAAGTGCTGTCTGACGTCAGGTCGAAGGACATCGTCCTCCCCCAGGAGTTCGTCGGCAACGTCAAGACTAATGTCGTCAATCTCCTCCGGTGGCTGTTGAATCACGATCCCAGCCAGCGTCCGACCTCTCAGGAGCTACTCACCTCGGAGTACCTGCCACCACCGCAGCTCGAGGAGGCCGAGCTCCAGGAGATGGTCAGGCACACGCTCTCCAATAATCAGAGCAAGGAGTACAAGTACCTGATCGCCTGCTGCTTCAGCCAGGAAGTCACGCCCGCCGAGGATATCACTTATGACACTAATCTACTGCCTTCGAAGAACAACTGCTCCCTCGTGAAGAGCGATCTGCTGAGGGAGTACGTCAAGGCCAAGGTCATTGAGGTGTTCCGGAAACACGGGGGGATGAATGTCGTGACGCCTCTCCTCATGCCCAAGTCCACAAAGTTTCAGTACAATCAGATGGAGTCGTCGGTGAAGCTCATGACGAGGTCTGGAAATATTGTCTCTATTCCTTCGGATCTTCGCGCCCCTTTTGCGAGGTACGCCGCCTGGAACAATATTCTTCACATGAGGCGGTACGCCGTCGAGAGGGTCTACCACGAGAAGAAGGTCCACGGGTTTCACCCCAGGGAGTTCTACGAGTGCGCTTTTGACGTTATAAGTAATAGTGTTGATCTCATGGCTGAGGCCGAGCTCATCTACGTCGTCTGGGACATCTTCAATCAGCTGCCGGAGCTCAGGGAGAGGAACTTCGCGGTGAGGATCAATCACACGTCTCTCCTGCAGGCGGTACTCATGTACTGCGGGATTGAGCCGGAGAAGTATCAGGACATCTACACGATACTCTACGACGCCAGGGACGGCAAGTTCACCAAGTTCCAGGTGCAGACGCATCTCATCAGCTTGTGCCTGACGGATCAGGCCATGTCGACGTTGTCGAATCTGTTTGATACCGAGAGCTCCGTGGCGAAGATCTCGAGTGTATTGAGGACCATCACCAAGAGGAAGGGGACGGATGCGGCGATTCTCGCGAAGGAGGGGCTGAGGGAGATCGAGACCGTCGTCTCCAATGCTGAGGCCCTCGGGGTCAAGTGGCAGATCATCGTCGCTCCGCTGCTGGTGCACAAGACGCAGCAGCAGCACAGCGGAATCGTTTATCAGATCACTTGCGAGATGGCCAGGAAGAGGCGCAGGGGGGGGCACGATGTCATCGCTGCTGGAGGGAGGTGAGTCATTCTTTGGATCGATGGGGATTTTTTATTGCGTTTTTTTCGTGGGAAATCGTCAGGAGAAATTATTTTTGAGGTAAAGTCTGGGGAATTTACAGTTTCTGTACAGTTTTTTCTGTTGGGATTTCTTTTGGCTTTTCGTGGCATTTTTTTATCGAGAATTTTCAAGAGAAATTATTTTAGAGGAAAAATCTGTGGAATTTAAATTTTTGATGCATTTTTTTCTGTTGGGAATTTTTTGAGTAGTTTTTGCATTTGATTTTTTATGGAAAATGTTCAATAGAAATTATTTTAGAGGAAAAATCTGTGGAATCAAACTTTCTATACAATTTTCGCTATTGGGATATTTTCTATAGAAATTCCTTGACATGAATTCTCCAAATTATTTTCACTCCATTTTTCGGCCTTTTTCATTAAAAAATTGGAAGGAAAGCTTGGAAAATTCGAGCTGAGAAATTTCTATAGAAAATATTTCAATAGAATAATTTGTATACAAAAATAGAATTTTATTGATTTTTATCTATAGAATATTTTCCTATTCAAAATTTCTATTAAAAAATGCGCAAAATCCCGTGGAAAAACCTAGCGAATTCTATAGAAAATTCTATTGAATTATAATTGCTATAGATAATTCTACTATTTTTGGTCAGTGCTATTGACGAATTCCGCAGCTTTGTACTTTTTTTAATAAAAAATGTCCAATAGAAACCATTTCATTAAAAAAATTCTATAGAATTTCATCTTCCCATGGAATTTTTTCTATTGAGTCATTTTCTATAGGAATTCCTTGACACGAATTCCCTCAATTTTTCCACGCCACTTTTCTGTTCTTTTCATTTAAAAAATCAAATGAAGAAATTGAGCCGAGGGATTTCTATAAATAATATTTCAATAGACTAAGTTGCACAGAAAAATCAAGTTCTACAATTTTACAATTTTTTTCTATAGAATATGCAATATTCTTCGACAAAACGCGTTTGAGGTGAGGAATTCATGACTAGATTCACCCAAAAAGTACAAAAAAATTCAACAGAAATCCAATAGAATTTCCCACCAAACGAAATGTTTTCGTACGCGTCCTACACTCCATGAAGAGCCCCTAGAAGTCATGTCACAATCCAAACCCTCATATCTTCTCTATAGCCCCAAAAAAAAAATCTTCCCCACGCGAAACCCTTCATCTCCCCAAATTTTTCACTCCAATTCTCCACTTCTGTTTCTCCCCAAGGTACGACAAAATGCTGGCATCATTCAGGCACCTTCTCGAGCGAACTGGGCTCGCGAGTAAAGACTTCAAACAGCACGGCGTTGGAATAAGTATCTCCCTCGAGAAACTTGTCCACGCAGTCGGGGAGATCTACTCCTCGGAAACCTCAGGATCTGAATTAATATTAAGTAAATTTGGAATAAACGTGTCTGTCGCCGTATGTTGCACCGACGGACCGAAGAGAAACCAGGAGATGGCGGCTGTCCTCCGAGAGCTCTGGAGTCTAGGTCTGGGTGTCACTGCCCTGGACTTCGGCACAACTGACGAGGTCATTGATTACTGCAGAGAGAATTCAATAACTCACGTTGTAATTCTCAAATTCGGGGAGAAGGGCAACCTGAGGATTCACACGTGGGAGAGAGACAGGTATCAGGAGAGGAAGATCAGTGTCAATGATGTGGGGGAATTCTTCCAGAGACAGAGGAACGATAATCCACTGCCGGTTTTGAGCAGATCTGAGAGCAAGGCAAATTCCAGTGATAATACGCCACTCAATGTTACGGTTAATTTTGTATTGTCGGAGAGGGATAAGCTCTCGGGGAGTGGCAGGAGGAGTTACAAGAACTCAATGCTGGCGCAGATGACGTCACATCTGCAGAGGATAGCTTGTAAGGTTGAGGTGCAGGTGTTTGGGGTATTTCTGGAGATGATGGTGATTAGGACCATTGGAAGCCATTTGGAGATTGACGAGGGGGAACAAGACTTTGAGAGGAGTGTACAATTAATCATCGAAAAGTAAGAACATATTTATTATTATTTATATTTTTTAGTCGTAAATGAAATCGCTGAGAGATCCTTATTATTATTATTATTATTGTTGTTGTTGTTGTTATTTATTCAGTTTTTTAATACATGATTGGATGTCTATTGAAAGTTAGAAATTTATTCTATAAAACTTTTACTATTAGAAAATGTTTTATAGGAATTTCTCGACCTGAATTTCCCGAGTTTTTTTTTCTTTCGATTAAGAAAATCAAACAAAAAAAAATAGGAAAATTTTAGTCAAGGAATTTCTATAGAAAATATGTCAATAGAATAAGTTGTACATTTGTATGGAGTCTTGATTCTTTTCAATAGATTGAGTTAATTGTTTTTTTTTTGTTTGTTTTCAGGCATCTACGCTATAAGAAGTACATTCAACAAATATGTAACGAAATGTGGGAGATAAGGAACGAGAAACAACGGCCCACTCTGGTTCTCTACAGTCTCCTGGATAATCGATACTTATTTTTAATTTAACGTTTACATTGTTTTTTGAGATGTCGGATAGATCTTTATTACGAATTAAATATCTATGTTTCATAAATTTGCATTTCTGTTTTTGTTATTTTCGTGCCAAATTCGAAGGCTAAAATTTAATAGAAAAACCTAGTGAATTCGGTAGAAATTGTTTATAATCGGAGGTATGATCTATAGAACCGCTCATGGAGAAATATTCTATAGCAAAACATGAAATTTAATTTCAAATATATATTCTATAGAAAAAAAAAGATAGACTCGAAAATCTATAGATTCTATAGAAAATTTCAATTCTATAGATTTGTCTATAGAATAGCTTCCACTGAACATTTCTATTGAAAAAACGAAAATCAAAATCGAAATTTTTCAGTAGAACCAGTCAAAAAAAAAATTCAATAGAAATCCAATAGAATTTCAAATATATTCTATAGGAAAAATCTATAGAATAGAAATTTTCTAGATTCTATAGAAAATTATATAGAATTGAATTTTCCTATAAAAATACAAAAATTTGAAATATTCTATTGCAAAGCATTAATAAAATTTCAGATACATATTCTATAGAAAAAAAAATCTATAGAGTCCAGCTTTTCTATAGAATCTATAGAAAATTCTACAGAATTGATTTTTCTATAAAAACAAAAACAGAAAATATTCTGTAGAAAAATTCAATTCTATAGATTTATCTATAGAATGGCTTCCACTGAACATTTCTAGTGAAAAAGAAACGAAAATCAAAATCGAAATTTTTCAGTAGAACCAATCAGAAAAAAATAAAAAATTCAATAGAAATCCAATAGAATTTCAAATATATTCTATAGGAAAAATCTATAGAACCGAAATTTTCTAGATTCTATAGAAAATTCTATAGAATTGAATTTTCCTATAAAAATATAAAAATTAAAAGTATTCTATTGCAAAGCATTAATAAAATTTCAGATATATATTCTATAGAAAAAAAAATCTATAGAATCCAGCTTTTCTATAGACTCTATAGAAAATTTTACAGAATTGATTTTTCTATAAAAATATAAAAACAGAAAATATTCTGTAGAAAAATTCAATTCTATAGATTTATCTATAGAATAGCTTCCACTGAACATTTCTATTGAAAAAGAAACGAAAATCAAAATCGAAATTTTTCAGTAGAACCAATCAGAAAAAAATAAAAAATTCAATAGAAATCCAATAGAATTTCAAATATATTCTATAGGAAAATATATAGAATCGAAATTTTCTAGATTCTATAGAAAATTCTATAGAATTGAATTTTCCTATAAAAATACAAAAATTTGAAATATTCTATTGCAAAGCATTAATAAAATTTCAGATATATATTCTATAGAAAAAAAAATCTATAGAATCCAGCTTTTCTATAGACTCTAGAAAATTCTGCAGAATTGATTTTTCTATAAAAATATAAAAACAAAATATTCTATAGAAAAATCTATAGAATTTAATTTTTCTATAGAACATTTTCCAAAAACATTTCTTTTGAAAAAAAAAGCAAAATTTCTCAGTTCAACCAGCATAAAATTCGATAGAAATCCCACTCCCCAGACGTTCCCACGGAGTTTGTTCTCGCACTTACCATCAGCCGATACCCCAGCTCTTCCCCTCTCCCCCCACGTAACTCCAAAGGTTGTAGTCCAACCTCAGCCGTCCTATGTATAACCTCGACCCCCCAGTAAACGACTCTCTCCGCGCCGTGGCGTACCGCGTGTGCTCTCTCCGGGATCTCCTCCAGCCTCGAAAAAAGCTCTCGCACCTCCCCACGACCCCTGACCCTCCGATGGTCCCGAGTGACTTCCCCCAGGTCTCCGCCTCTCTTTAACCAGTGAAAAACCTCCGTGATGGCACCAGCGCGAAGACGACCCCTGCACCCTGGCTCGCCGAGTGGTTCCCCTGGGAGTAGCTTCCGCTCGTCGCGCCTGAACTTCCGGCCGACCTCGGGCATGCAGGAGGACCGGGGCGGCACCAAGCCCACGACCACCCCGAGCTCGATAGGTCTCGTCCTGATGACGATGCTCCTCCACATCTGCAAGAAGTCCTTGCTGTTTGATCCCCGCCTCAAGGTCACCATCTACTGCGGCGCGATATTTGTCGTCTCGCTGGTGGCCGACCTGGCCCCGCCCCCGAAGACGTACCTGGCGAGGTCGGACAACGTCTTCAACAGGTTCTTCGTCAAGTGGGGGTGGGGGTGGCTGCTGACGGTGTTGGTGCCCTGGGTGCTGCTGACGGGGTACACGATAGGCTGTGGGAAGAGGTCGATCGTCGTGAGGCACCTCCTGAGGGTCGTCGTGGCGAGCTTCTTCTGGTTCGCCTGGACCAAGCTCTTCCTCCACGTGGAGAACACCTACGGCAGGTGCCTGGGGACGAGGGAGAACGACCTCCAGAGGAAGACGAGCTGCCTCAGGGCGGGCAAGTTCTGGAGTGGCTTCGACATATCCGGACACACCTTCATCCTCATCTACTCCAGTCTCATCCTCGCGGAGGAGGGGGCAGCCCTCGTGGGCTGGGAGGGCATCAACGACATGGTCCTCAAGGAGGAGCACTCCAGGTGTGTTCAGGAGAGGAGTGCGAGCCCCCTGAAGGAGCTGACGGACAACGAACTCGAGTTCCTGAAGATGACGCACAGGGGGCTGAGCCCTTATGTCAGGGGACTCTTCGTGGGGATGACGCTCCAGCAGGTGCTGTGGGACGTCATGGTTGTGTCCACCATGCTTTATTATCACACGATGATCGAGAAGTTCGTCGGGGGCATCATCGCGGTGCTGATGTGGTTCGTCACCTACAGGTGGTGGTTCACTCTGAGTCAGGGGGGGCTCCTGCTGCCGGGGGATGGGGTCTTCAAGTATAATGAGAATAGGAGGACTGCCGGGGCCGGGAGGACGAGGAGGAATACACTGAATGGGGTGGGACCGAGCTTCATGGGGATGCCTCTGAGGACCGCGCAGAGGGAGGAGGGTAGGGGGACTGGGAATGGAGGGGGCTCTCGGTGAAAATTAGAGGTTTGCGGTGGGACGGCTTTTTCAGGGAATTTTTTGGAATTCTATTGCTGTTCTATTAGGAGTCTATGAGCGAAGCAGTAAAACAGGTGAAAAAATTCAAGAGAAAAACGACGAATTTTTTGGAAAATTCTATTAGATTTCTATTGAACTTTCTATTACTTTTTGGCTAATTCTATTGAAATGTTCTATAGAAAAAGTAAAAAAAACGATTTTTCTATAATAGTATATTTCGTAACGAGTGCAAAAAAGTGTTTTTTGGCGAGTGGGAGGTTTATATCACGAGCCGAAGGCGAGTGAATAATCCCACGAGCGAAAAAACATTTTTTCACGAGTTACGAACAATATTTTTCATCACAATGTGGCGGAAATTAGACTTTTAGGCACGCGGAGCGTGCCGAAAAGTTCACTTTTCGTCACAGCGTGATGAAAAACTTATTTTATTGAGATATTTGCTATAGAATTTCCTCAGCTCAAATTTTTCAATTTTTTTGTTTGATTTTCTTGATGGGAAGAAAATAAAAAGAGAATGAAAAAAAAAGAAAAATTTAAGCCGAGGAAATTCTATAGAAAATATCTGAAGAGAATAAGTTACTGAAAAATCGAATTCTATAGACAATTTCAATAGAATCGGCCAAAAACTTATAAAAAGTTCAATATCAATTCAATAGATTTTTTTAACGAAAAAAATGGGTTTAGCTATGGCCCAGTTTTCAGCGAGTATCTCGAAATCTAAGGCAGACACCAAAATTTTTGTTATAACCTTTTTTGTAGAGCGAATTGAGAGCTACAAAAAAAATCTTCACGAAAATTTCGTTATCTCCCTTAAAATCGAAGATATTTCTCGAAAACTTGAACGGTTTTACCGCTTCGTTACTGATTTGATTGAAGAAAGTCAATAGATTTCCATTTCTTAAATTTTTTCATTATTATCTTCTCATCATCATTATTTCGATCATTGGTATGAAATTCTAGATTAATTCATTTTCTCAAAAAAAAAAATTCATTTTTTCGACAACCCTCCCATTGCCATAAATAATCTGTAAAAAAATTGAATTCATCCATTACAAAGATCCCTTGAACTGTTCTCCTGAAACCCCTCATTTTCGAGATGAATGTACAATCACCAAAAATGTAAAATTCTACTTATTGTCTCCCCACTTCATTAGTTAACTCAGCCATGATGTTTCTGTTATTTCTCTTGGGTTGTGTGAATGCATAATCGTTAATAATTATAAGGAGTGGTATTTTTCATAAAAAAACTCTTGTAAATTCATTGGAGTGTTAATTCGTACACATATTTATAAGATAATCGTGGTGCACTGTAACTATTTAAATAGTATTTATGAATTTTGGTACTGGAGTTGTATTTATTGATAAATTAATATAAAATTAACGTAATAAAAATGCGACAGGGTGTTCACGCTCTCTCTTGTGGTAACACTTGTCATTATTCATCACGAAGGAGTACAAAATGATGAATATCGCGTAGAGACATTTAATTGTTGAAAACTGATTTATATGACGAATGATCGAGTGAGTAGTGAATAAAAATTTAACAGCTGAGTCGATTGAAGTCTTCACTGGTCTACTATCTGTTTTAATTACTAACAATCTCACCAGACTATGAATATTTCATGGATGCGTTCACATGATTGACCTCTCGCACTCGAAACAGTCTACAATTCCACAGTTGAATGTCAACTTTTTGTTCAGTGAATTCTTATCGATCTTTGACTTCGACGTCATGTGGGGATCTGGTGACTCTCGGTTTGGGTGTAGAATTGCTCGCCGAACCACTCTGGATGCAATTCAAGATAACTAGAAAAAAAATCATGAATATTTATATTTATAATTATAATTATTATTCAATTATTTAGTGTAAATGTCTTTAACTAAACTTTTTTGTTTCATTTAGACTAGTTTGGGGATATCTTTTGAGTCTAGTGGCTTTAGAAAATCTTTAAATTCATAAATTACAAAAAAACAATTCAATATTCACATGCAATGGACAGGGATACCCCAATTTATAAGATTTAATTTTGATAAATTTCGTACATTTAAAATCAATTATGAATTTCCGGAATTTTGACTACTTTAAATCAATTTACCAATAATTGAAATTATTGACTTTATTGATGGCATGACTCAGTGATGATTGAAAATCTACCACTGATTATTAATTAATAATTTTCATACTATGATAAAAAATAACATTATGAAACCAGATTAAGTCGATTTTGCCTCTCGGCCACTTTTCCCTGATTATCTCGAAATCCACGTGAGACAGCAAAATTTTCGTTAGGACCTTTTTTGTAGCCCTCAATTCGCTCTACAAAAAAGTTCCTTACAAAAATTTCGTTATCTCCCCTAGTTTCGGAGATATTCCTCGAAAACTCAGCCGAATTGACATTATTCCCTAAATTTTCCTCATAAATTTCGTTTTCTCAATGGCAATCAGTGAATTGAATACCTGAGGAACATGTCCAAGTGTTTAATCAACAATTTCATCTTCTTCGCTGGCATATCCGTTGCCTGCAGTAAATCCGGAAGTTTAACAAACAATCTGGCGAGATGAACAGCCCCAAAGTAGGTGGCAGGACTGGGTCCCCCGTCCCTCCTGGTGGCCTCTGGCATGAGCCTCCACTTGTTGGCCTCATCCAGAAGGGCTCCAATCTGGGCTGGTGGTACCACTGGATACCTCGAGGTCGCCCCTCGAGGGCTCGAGCACCTCGAGCTCGTGCTAGCTATGCTGGAGACGTTTCCTGGCTCCTGCTTCACGTCGTCGTACGATCTCAACTGGCGTGTGTCCTCCACAGAACTCACCCTGCACGATCGCAATTTCCTCTTCACTGAGGACACTGGCTTACCCGGGGGATCACTCTCCGCTATTTCGTGCTCTCTGAATGGGGGGAGGTGGGCGTATTCTATGTCCTCTATTTCTTCTTTTATCGTTAATTCAGGAGTGCTGAAAAGATTAAAATTCAGTACTGCAGGGGCAAAAATATTCTGTTGGAGTTGTAGTGAAATCTCTATTTTTGCGCAGTTTTTTTTTTCAATTGAAATGGTCAATGGAAAACGTTCCGTAGAAAAAATTAATAAAAGTCCATTTTTCTGTTCAAATTATTCTATTGACATATTTTTCAATTTTTTTTATTTCGTTTTCTAATGAAAAGAGAAGAAATAGTGGAAAAAACAGAAAATTATTGTCGAGGAATTCATATAGAAGTACTCAGATTCCTATAGTACTATCTTTCGAACGTTATCTCGATGTTTTTTTTCATCTTTCGTCATCTAAAATTGTCAATTGAGTCCTGCATCATGCAGAAGTCTTGAGAAATTATGAATGAATAATAAAAAATAGAAGGAATTCTTAATTTTTTCAAAGAGCATTTTTTATTTATATTCAGAATAAGTTGAGTAACAAGAAATTGAAAAATGTATCTGATTTACGGGGACAAATGGCGACCTGTCACCCAATATCATGCAGGGGGAAGACTGACTTCGTAAATCTTTTCCCACACTGCACAGAGACATTTATTACGGAAAAGGCTCTTTGAAAAAAATTGTAATATTTTGGAGAATTTTTTAATCACACTTTTATCACATAAAAATGGCAGATGTCACCTCCCATGAGGAGTTAGTGTTTTGTTATCCACCATGGAAAATGACAGCTAACAGATAATGAGCCACAGCGAATCAGATATTTGTAATTTCCACTTTTCTCAACTCATTCTGAATCTCAATTAAAACCTCTCTTTGAAAACCTTCAGAATTTTTTCTATTTTTTTATCATTCTATCATAATTTTTGGGAATTTCTACATGATGTACCACTCAATTGACACTTTTGTATTACGAAAGATGAAAAAATCCAGATAAAATTCGAAAGACAGTCCCGGGCCTTGAGGGCTACAAAAGTAATCGTAATAAAATATTACAAATTCGGTTATCCCTGCTCGCTACCCCCTTCACTAAATTCGTTAACATCCGAAGAACTCACTCAACAATTTCCTCCTTAATGACGACGGAATGTTCCGGGAACAGGAAGGCCTCCTTGAACCCATTGAACTGCTCCCGTTCCTCCCTGTAGAGCAGTAAATCCGGCAGAGTGAAGTCGAAGTAAATCCTGAGTCCATCGGCCACTTCCCTCGATATGTTGATCTCATTGAGGGTCTTCTCCATCGTGTTATTGGCCTTGGCCCTTCCCGACTTGTTCTCCGGTATGTTGGTCAGCTGAGTAGTGGTGAAGTGCTGCACCCAGGACTCCAGGATGCTCACAACAGTCGGTTGTGCGGGTAAAACCGCCAATTTATGCTTGTGAGTGATTAACTCGTAGTCCTGCTCCAGAATTCTCCTCAAGGTGCTGCCGATATCGATGTCGATGGCCGAGTGATGGCTCCCGCCACCGCCGCTGTCCTCGTCGTCGGTGGACTCCTCGTCGAAGTCTGAACTGCTCTCGTAGTCCTCCTCGGTGATGACCTCCTCGGTGTCGTAGTCGTCGTGCTGCCCCGAGCTTCCGTCCTCCGAGGAGCCTGTGGTGCCTGACGTCGCTCGACTCCCGCCGCTGCGCGCTCTCCTCCGGGAGTCGATGCCCGTCGAGAGGCGCTCCGAGAGCTTGTGGTTGCGGTTCTTTCTCTCTCGACGGTAGAGGTAGGCCCCCAACTGCAGCTGCGCCTTCTGCGCCAGGTCTCGCTGCAGCTGACGGTTCTCCTCGGTGTCCTTCAGGACGTACTCCTCGGTTACACATCTGTCCCAGGAGGAGTTCCAGCCCTGGGGGGAGACGTGGGTGAAAATTAACGTGGAGAGAAATTTTCTAGACAAATTCTAGCACGAGAAATGGCAAAAAAATTCTAGTGCTGTTAAGGGGAAACGGAACCCCTGCGTTTATATGAATCTTTAGAATTGGGTTTTCTCCTGCAACAATGCGATAATCGAGTCGATAAAGTAATACGAGGAAATTCTTAGAAGAACAATAGAAATTAATTAGTTTCTAATATTTTCCCTGATTATCTCGAAATCCACGTGAGACAGCAAAATTTTCGTCAGGACCTTTTTTGTAGCCCTTAATTCGCTCTACAAAAAAGGTCTTCACAAAAATTTCGTTATCTCCCTTAGTTTCGGAAATATTCCTCGAAAACTCAGCTGAATTAACATTATTCCTTAAATTTTCCTCATAAATTTCGTTTTCTCAATGGCAATTAGTGAATTGAATACCCGAATCGAGGGTTTGAAAATTAACGTGGAGAGAAATTTTCTAGACAAATTCTAGCACGAGAAATGGCAAAAAAATTCTAGTGCTGTTAAGGGGAAACGGAACCCCTGCGTTTATATGAATCTTTAGAATTGTGTTTTCTCCTGCAACAATGCGATAATCGAGTCGATAAAGTAATACGAGGAAATTCTTAGAAGAACAATAGAAATTAATTAGTTTCTAATATTTTCCCTGATTATCTCGAAATCCACGTGAGACAGCAAAATTTTCGTCAGGACCTTTTTTGTAGCCCTTAATTCGCTCTACAAAAAAGGTCTTCACAAAAATTTCGTTATCTCCCTTAGTTTCGGAAATATTCCTCGAAAACTCAGCTGAATTAACATTATTCCTTAAATTTTCCTCATAAATTTCGTTTTCTCAATGGCAATTAGTGAATTGAATACCCGAATCGAGGGTTTGAAAATTAACGTGGAGAGAAATTTTCTAGACAAATTCTAGCACGAGAAATGGCAAAAAAATTCTAGTGCTGTTAAGGGGAAACGGAACCCCTGCGTTTATAGGAATCTTTAGAATTGTGTTTTCTCATGCAATTATTATTTTTTATTCATTAAACTACTTCAGTGACTCAACAATGCGATAATCGAGTCGATGAAGTAATTTCACAGATAGAAATTGATAATTGTAGGAGAAAACACAATTCTAAAATTTGATGTAGACAAAGGGGTTTCGTCTGCTCTTAATAAAAATTCTAATGCTGATAAGAAAAATTCAAATGCTAAGAAAAATTCTAGTGCTGTTAAGGTAAAATTTCTTGGTATTTCTAAAATTTCTGGGGATTTCTGTGAAATTTTCACAGAAATATGGGAAAAAAATCACATTTTCCCCAATAAAATTTCTGATGCCGGCACTGGAATTTTTTTCTGGTCAGTCAAAAATTCTAGGGGTTTCTGGCAGTTTTTAGGTGTTTTCAGAGATTTTATTAACAAATTCTACAGGTTTTCTGCGATTTTTTGGAAGGAAAGGTTCAATGGAAAATATTCTGTAGGAATAATCAATAGGATGCGATTTTTCTGGATAATCTGTTTTATTGGGGTATTTTTATAGAGATTTCCTCAGCTCCAATTTTTCAAGTCTTTTTTTATGAAAAGAAGAAAAATAAAATGAGGAAAGTCGTGTCAAGGAATTCCTATAGAAAATTTTGCAAAAAAATTCTACTGGTTTTTTCAATAGAATAGTTTCTATCGGAAATTTTATTATAGAATGAGAAAAACTTGGAAAATTCTACAAAAAATATCTCAATAGAATAGACTGTCTAGAAAAATCTGATCCTGTTGACATCTTCTACACAATATTTTCTATTGAACACTTCAATCGAAAAAAGTTCAACAGAAACCCAGTAGAATTTTCATCGAATTCGCTACATTGTTCAATGAAATTTTTTCGTGCGCCCACCAATCACAAACCCCATCAACAACGAATAACTCTCCATGACAATCAAAATTCGATTGTTTACAGTCATTACGTCACAGCAACAGTCTGACTGTCAACAATGGGTTAGGGGTTTACCTGGAAGTGAATGAGATACTCCACAGCCTTCCTGCCCCTCTGATCCTTGTTCACAATGACATCCAAGACCTAGAACCGAAATCCCAGTGACTCCAGACCCTTCAATGCCCCCTGAATCGTGATTTTCCACGATTTCCTCTGATTGTTTACGATATTTTTGGGGTTAGGATTGAACCGCCAATTTCGCTGTCACCCTCGGCCGTCCCTAATCGCCCCCAGGAGACGACTCTGCACCCGTTAAATAATTTATTCACGCTCTCACCTTGGAATCGTAGAGGACTTTAGCCTTGGTAGGATCCGGCTCGTAACACAGGACTTTTTCACCATCGCTGAATTTAAATCTCTGCCCCCGCGTCGTCGCCATCTTCTCTTGCAGACACGAGAGGATTTCGGAGCAGTCGGAGTCCGCTCACTGCCGAGAGTTATTTTGCTGATTGATTGCGATCGTAATGGCGTTGTTCACTAAATTAATCAACAATTTCAGTCGAAGTCTTGTCCTGTCACACCCCCAGAGGACTTTCAGTGTCAGTCATGTCTCGAGGATTAAAGAGTGTGAGTGGAAATCGTGAAAACATAACCTTCAACGTTATTGTTGAATGTTATATTTTAGAGTCTGTCAATTTCTTGAGATTGTACGCACGAAAAATTTCAGTGAAACAACTAGAAAATTCTGTTGGATTTATGTCGAAGTTTCTATTGGGTTTTGCGACGATTCTGATGAAAAATTGGACAGATTATCTGCGCATTTTTTTGTTGTAAAAAGACTCCATGGAACATGTTCTGTAGCAAAAATTAATAGATTTAGATTTTNATGAGAAAAACTTGGAAAATTCTACAAAAAATATCTCAATAGAATAGACTGTCTAGAAAAATCTGATCCTGTTGACATCTTCTACACAATATTTTCTATTGAACACTTCAATCGAAAAAAGTTCAACAGAAACCCAGTAGAATTTTCATCGAATTCGCTACATTGTTCAATGAAATTTTTTCGTGCGCCCACCAATCACAAACCCCATCAACAACGAATAACTCTCCATGACAATCAAAATTCGATTGTTTACAGTCATTACGTCACAGCAACAGTCTGACTGTCAACAATGGGTTAGGGGTTTACCTGGAAGTGAATGAGATACTCCACAGCCTTCCTGCCCCTCTGATCCTTGTTCACAATGACATCCAAGACCTAGAACCGAAATCCCAGTGACTCCAGACCCTTCAATGCCCCCTGAATCGTGATTTTCCACGATTTCCTCTGATTGTTTACGATATTTTTGGGGTTAGGATTGAACCGCCAATTTCGCTGTCACCCTCGGCCGTCCCTAATCGCCCCCAGGAGACGACTCTGCACCCGTTAAATAATTTATTCACGCTCTCACCTTGGAATCGTAGAGGACTTTAGCCTTGGTAGGATCCGGCTCGTAACACAGGACTTTTTCACCATCGCTGAATTTAAATCTCTGCCCCCGCGTCGTCGCCATCTTCTCTTGCAGACACGAGAGGATTTCGGAGCAGTCGGAGTCCGCTCACTGCCGAGAGTTATTTTGCTGATTGATTGCGATCGTAATGGCGTTGTTCACTAAATTAATCAACAATTTCAGTCGAAGTCTTGTCCTGTCACACCCCCAGAGGACTTTCAGTGTCAGTCATGTCTCGAGGATTAAAGAGTGTGAGTGGAAATCGTGAAAACATAACCTTCAACGTTATTGTTGAATGTTATATTTTAGAGTCTGTCAATTTCTTGAGATTGTACGCACGAAAAATTTCAGTGAAACAACTAGAAAATTCTGTTGGATTTATGTCGAAGTTTCTATTGGGTTTTGCGACGATTCTGATGAAAAATTGGACAGATTATCTGCGCATTTTTTTGTTGTAAAAAGACTCCATGGAACATGTTCTGTAGCAAAAATTAATAGATTTAGATTTTTCTAGGGGAGGGTAGGGTAAAACGGACACTTTTGACTTTTTTTGAAATATTTATGACGTGTTGAATTGTTCATGAAATGGAATAATTTTATTTTTCATTTGAAAAACAATGATTCCTCTTTGTGATGAGCTTAGACTGAGCTCAATTGATAAATCTGTTTCTGAGTTATGAATATTTTTAAAAAAGTCAAAAGTGTTCATTTTACCCTACCCTTCCCTATTCAACTTATTTATTTATTTTTTTGTAAAAAGAGAAGAAATAGAATGGAAAAAACCTGGAAAATTCATGTCCAAGAATTGCTGTAGAAAATTTGAGCTGATGAATTTCTACAGAAAAATTGATTTCTGTTGATTTGTTCTATTGAAAAAAAAAAGACAAGCTGCGGAATTTTTCAATAAATTCAGCCAAAAATGATAGATTTTCAATAGAAATACAATAGAATTTCCTAGGGAATTCGCTAGCAAATATTAGTTCCTAATTCTACTCAAGATTTTTTTCTGTAAAAAATATTCAATAGCAACTATTTTATAAAAAAAAGTAGAATTTCCTTTTTCAATACTTTTTCTATAGGAATTCTTGACATGAATTTCTATAGAAAATACTCCAATAGAATTATTTGCATCGAGAAAATAGCATTCTACTGATTTTTTCTGTAGAATTTTCCCCATTGACTAAATTTAAAAAAACGTGCAGATAATCTGAGGAATTTCTCAACAGAATGGGCCAAAAATTAGTAGAAAGAATTTTCTATCTAATTCACTAGGTTTACCTATGAATTTTTTTCGTGCGTTAATTTCTTTGTAAACTACTCCCCCTGGGTAGAAAAACGCATGAACTCAGTCACTTTAATCCCCAAAAACTGCGTGAATTCTAGTCATCGAGAAGAAGGAGGGAAAGACATTGATCATCGAGGCAAAAATAGTCGAAGACCCGAAGGAGAAGAATCTGCTGCAGCCTGCGAGTAACGGAGCGTGCCTGCTCTGTTCAGCAGGAGTTTACGTGAAACACACCGTAATTAATCACTTTTATCAACGAATGACAATTCTCTCGGCCTCTGTGAACTGTTGAAATACCATTTTGAGGCTTCAGAAGTTCAAAAATTATTTTCACCCATTTAGTGTCCATTGAACATTTCCATTGAGGAAAAATGTACAGGAAATTCTATCATAATATTTAATATTCATATACAATATTATTATTTATATATATTATTTAATATTTTTATATATAATATTTTCTACTGACAATTCCCAATGAAAAAACAATGGCAGAAAAGCTGTGAATTTTTCAATGGAAGTGGAATAAGAATTCAGTAAAATTTCCTAGACTTTTCTATAAAAATTTTTTTCGTGAATGAACTTCACGTCCATTTTCCCAATTAATGAATTCATCCCCTTGCAGGATGTCTTGATCCTGAGCCAATTCCTTCGGTCAGACGGTCGCCTAATGCCCAGGAGGGTCACCGGCCTGTGCAGAACTCAGCAGAAACGACTGAACAAACTCGTGGCAATGTCGCAGAAGGCCGGCCTCATGCCCAACCTCAATCCTCCTAATAGTAATAGAGATCCCAAAAAGAGACAGGGATTCAAAGCCTTCAATGTCTACTATGATGAGACCACTATCGAAGCTAAATTCCACAACGTTGCTTGGAGATGAGGTGTTTGTGGTGGGATTAATGAAGTTAATGTAAATAAATGATGCGTTGATTAAAGATAATTAATGATATAATCACAATCACGAATATTTTTGACCATTAGCTAAACCAAAAACTGGCCCTCAGGGTGTCTATTCTTTGTTCAGTACATCACTATATTTCTCAGTTAAATTCAGTCTATCAGTGACTCAGCAAGTGAATTATTCGACAATTCAATAACGAAGTGGTCAAACGGTTCAAGTCGATTTTGGCTAGATCCATTCGATTGGCCAGTTTTCAATGAATATCTCGAAATCTAAGGGAGATAGCAACGTTTTTCTCATGACCTTTTTTGTAGAGCGAATTCAGTGCTATTAAAAAGGTTATTATGAAAATTTCGCTATCTCCCTTCAATTCGGAAATATTTCTGGAAAACTCAACTAAAGAATAAATTGACTTAAATTGTTTGACCACTTCGCTGATTTTCGTCAATGATATCGAGATCCTCAACGTCCTCTTTCATTACCTCCTCGACTTCCTCTATGAACTCCTCATTCTGACCATTTTCGTGCCTTCGACTTGGTTGCCGAGGTCAGCGATGATGATGAAATCGGTTTTGCAGACTGACAGCTTTCGTCATAAAATTCAGTCAGATCTGCAACGAATAAAATGCATTCCAAAGGATAAAAAACAAATATAAAGTATCAGCTCATTTTAAGATATAGGGGTGGGTGAGGTAAAACGGACACTAGACTTTTTCAAAATTATTCATAACTCAGAAACAAATTGATCAATTGAGCTCAGTTTAGGCTCGTCACAAAGGGAAAGTTGAATATATGATTTTAATAAAAATATAAAGCAAAATAGATACTCAAATTTAATTTTTCTTCAAAATTTTCACGAATGCCATAATAACAAACAAAATGCCATTATGTTGCCACATTCGCTTCACTTCAGACTGGCAACGCTGCGCTTGTGTTCATTGTGTGCGTCAGTTCTGCTGCGCAAGTGCCTCCACTCGTGTGTGACAAATCCATCGGCAGAATCAGCCCTGGAGAGTTATTCATCAGCCAGCTGCCGAATCACTCCTCCAAATTCAATTCGCGAATATAATTCCCCCAAATTGATGAAGTGAATCAAGTGAAAATGGCGGATAACGAGCAGAAAGCGGTGCAGTTGATGGCCGATGCTGAGAAGAAGCTCGGCTCGTCGAAGGGTTTCTTCAGCTCCCTGTTCGGGTGAGTTTTGCCATATCGATTTGCCACAGATCATCGCACATCGCCACATGTTTCGTCATCACTATTTCGTGGCTTTTGCATGTCACTCCAATCGTCTGTGAGATTCGCACGGATTTTATTGCATTGGAAATGCTCGGGGGGATGAATTATTCAGGGAAATTGGCGAAACTTATGGATTTGATGGAGTGGGTGATGTCGTGTGTTTACGCAAGCGCGAGTGACACTTTGACAGGTAAACAATGGCCCCGGTGTCATCGAAATGCAACGGAGAATGGGTCCGGTGGGGTGATGATGATTTATCTGTTTCAATTCGGGGGAAAATTGATTCGGCTCTGGTACATAATTGAGAAGGACTTTATTATTTTCTATTATTAGGGAGAAGTAATCTAGCATTTCCCGGAGGTGCAAAAATCCCCTGACGGAAAACCGAAATAGAATAATTATATTCACAGATGCATATTTATTATTCATCATTGGATTTTTATTTTTCAGTTTGTTTACGTCTAATTAATCAATTGATTTATTCATTCATTCATTTTTTATTTATTTATTTATTCATTTGTTTATTTTTATTATTCTGTTCCCTATTCTTCATTTATAATCTATATTAATGGCATGATCATCATCACAATTATCATTATTCAGCATCATTGAAAAAGAGGAAAGAAGAAGATTGAAAAAGTGATGAAATAAAAAATTCCCTGAGGGAAAACCAAAATATGAAATAATTTTCACAGAGGCATATTTATTATTCATCATAGGATTTTTATTTTTCAATTTGTTTAATTCTATCTTATTAATCAATTGATTTATCCATTTGTTTATTTTTATTATTCTGTCCCTTATTCTTAATTTAATCTATATTAATGGCATGATCATCGTCCCAATTTGAAAAAGTGATAAAATAAAAAATTTCCTCAGAGAAAATCAAAACCTAAAATAATTTTCACAAATACATATTTAATATTCATCATAGGATTCTTGTTTTTCAATTTGTTCACTTCTAATTAATCTTTTGATTTATTTAATTGTTTATTTCTATTATTCTGTTTCTTACTCTTGTTTTATAATTCATATTAATCACCTGATTATCATCACAATTATCATTACTCAGCATCATTAGAAAAGAAGAGAGAAATAGATTTTTAAAAATGATAAAACAAATAGAAAAATTCAGAAAAAAGTTGAAAATCAACTTGTTGTGGATGAGTTAATAATTTTCCCCATTTTTCACACTTGCAGAAGTTCATCGAAGGTAGAGGAGGCAGTAGAATGCTATCAACGCGCAGCAAATCTCTTCAAGATGGCGAAGAAGTGGGGAAGCGCTGGGAATGCCTTCTGCGAGGCTGCATCGCTCCACGCCAAGGCTGGTAGCAAGCACGACGCCGCTACCAACTACGTTGACGCTGCCAATTGCTACAAGAAGACTGATGCAAACGGTACAGATTTGATTTTTTCTTTTCCGAGAGTCCAGAATAAGAGCAAAAAGTCCAGAAAATATTTTCGGGGGGTAAACGACTAGGGTATTTTGCAGAAGCATTACTAAATCCAGGAGAATTATGAAAACATATCGAGAGCTATTTTTCTCCAGAGAAGAATAATAGTAAAAATGGAATAAGCAAAACTGAGAAACTTTATGTCTAGGAATTCCTGTCTTTTAAACATGGAGACATTTCCTGTTTAAAAAACGTATCAATAATTAATATGATGCAAGGAATAAAATTCGATTAACAATTTGTGAGACTAATAATTCAATAATAATTTCATATAAATAATTTATCATAATTTCGTGTGGATTATCTCTTCTCTCCCTCTGGAAAAATATCAGTTATTGAAGAATAATAATGAAAAATGGAGTAAGCAAAGTTTAAAAACTTGATGTCGAGGAATTCCTGTAGAAAATGACATTTTCTGTTTAAGAAACCGTGCAATGAATTTAAAACGCTAACAAGGATTTCACAGAAAAAAATCTCTTGGAAAAAATCGTTTGAAGTCGTGAATTTTCATTGCAGAAGCGGCCAATTGCCTTCAGAAGGCGATTGAGATATACACGGACATGGGGAGATTCACCATGGCAGCCAAGCATCATCAGAGTATAGCGGAGATGTACGAGAGTGAAGCTGTGGACCTCGAACGCGCTGTTCACCACTATGAACAGGCTGCTGATTATTTTCGGGGCGAGGAGAGTATCTCATCAGCCAATAAATGTCTTCTCAAAGTCGCTCAGTATGCGGCACAGCTCGAAAACTACGAGAAAGCCATTCAGATTTATGAACAAGTGAGAATAACAACTATTTTATCCACTTCCAACTGAATTTAATTATAAATCGAATCAATAGCGAAAATTCTGGAGGCCATAGTTTTCTCGTTTTTTTAAATGTCTAATTATCTTGATAGAAAACGGGTTTACGATGAATTTTTTCCACTAAAATCATTTTTTAATTTTTAAAAATGATTTTAAAAAAATCAAAATCATTAATTTTTAAATTTAAATTTTTCAAAATGATTTTACACATTTTTTATGGAAATTTCCAGATTAAAAAAAAATTCTCTAGATAAATTGCATAAAGGGACTGCAACAATTTTCACATTTCAACAGTTAATTACCAATTGCGACGATTTTTCAAATCAATTATTCTGGAATTGTCTTGTAGGTCGCAGGAGCATCGCTGGACAGTCCTTTGCTCAAATACAGTGCTAAGGAATACTTCTTCAGAGCGGCCCTGTGCAATTTATGTGTAGACGCACTCAACGCACAACACGCCATCGAGCGTTACGAGGAGCAGTATCCAGCATTTCAAGATTCTAGGGAGTGCAAACTCATCAAGGTTGTATGATTAAATCGATACTGGCTCGTTGAAATTTAATAGAGTTCCCCTATCGACACCACGAGGGAAATAACGTTCTCTATCTCGTGACTGAATTCCAGAAATCTGTTCATTATGCATTTATCTCGACAAGCTGAAGATCGAGAGCTAAATGTTAAATGACAGTATCATTTCTGTACTGATTTCTCTAGTGAGTTATTCTATAGGAATTTCTGAAAATGACTTTTACAATTTTTTCGCGAAAGAATTCCTATAGAAAAAATCAAGAGAATAATTTATGTAAAAAATTGCTTTAAAAATGTCGAATTGAAATCATTTAAAAAAAAAAAAAAATCATTCCAGTTCCTCGAAATAATTTTTCTAGTCTTTTTCTACTCTACGTTTCTTCCCTTTTCATAAAAAATATTCTAAAAACTTGAAAAATTTTAGCCAAAGAATTTCTCCAGAAAATATCTCAATACTTCTCTTGAAAAAAAAAAATGTAAAAAGAAATTCTCCCAAACTTTTATCACTCCCCTCTAATAAACCGTTGCACAAATCTCCAGAGTCTGATCGACCACCTGGAGGAGCAGAACGTCGAGGGCTTCACAGACACTGTGAAAGAGTACGACTCAATATCCCGACTAGACCAGTGGTACACAACGATACTCCTTCGCATAAAGAAGCAAATTAACGATAACCCAGATCTCCGCTGATCGCCTGACACTTCAATTATTCGTAAGCTGTCCTTATCATCGGCATTCTCCCCCTACGATTCACTCATTGACCCTCACCCTGCGATTATAATTTACAATTCATTGATTAAATGATGAATTAAAGTAGTTGAACCTCATTATTTTGGAATTATCACCTCTTTCTCACCTTCCAGACATCAGATACTCAGTGATAACAAATGCTATCAGCCCCTCCCCCCATTATCAGGGCGAACTCTGGGGAATGAGAGAAAGAGACGTTTATCGATATTCGTAACAATGAATTCTGATGATTGTTAATTTATTGTATAGCATTTCTGTAATTATGAGTTGTTGTATTCATTAGCGTTGATTATCTGTGAATCGAGTGGATCTACTGCTGAGTGATGTATTTTATTGTTAATTAGGTGTGAGAAGACATTCGTTGTGAAGTGGTGAGACGTAACATCATGATTTCATTTTTTTAAGTTGATGAAAAAATCATAATTGTCACAATTATGAAATTACCTCGTTCACAAGTGATTTCAGTGGAAAATGTCGAGAGATTTTTCTCAGAGAATTTATTCTTCACGAAAAACATTCCCTCATTTTTATCTGGAATTAATAATTAACGAGGAATTCTCATAACTGTTCATCTTTTATTTTGCAGTTACGTCGTTAATGAGTGGAAAAAATTAACTGACATTTTCTCTCAGAGCCATTAGTTCCTGTAATGGTGAAGAAGTTGATTTAGTGAGCACGTGTCACCCCTTCACTCCACTAATGTTTAATTAATTTCTAATCAATTGTTGAGTATTGAAACAATTGCTCTTCGTTTTCATTAGACACTGAAAAATCCTATCATCAGCCATTTATCAAGTGTTATAATGCCAGTGCATACATTATAAAAAAGAAAAAAAATTGAGAAAAAAAATTAGGCGAGTGTTATTTCGATTAAAGATAATTAATTTGGGTAGTGGCCACGTAGTAGGCGTATAAATATTGCAAATGATACATGAGGCGTCACTAATCACGCTAATCACTGTATTAACTTCATCCAATGGGGTAACGATATGATGAATACGAATAAGGATTAAAAATGCAATTTTTATTATTAGATAAGTAATTAACTGGCTATAATCCAATGATTTGCGGGATTTATTGAATTCTTTCGACGCCTGGGTTTGATATCCAGGGGTTTATTAATATTCATTTTAAAAATATATCATGTACTATACTCGTACACTGAACAATTTCACACGTATGCTCTTGTATACGGGCGTAAACAATAAACATAAATTAACATTTAGAAAAATGTGTACAATTTTATTTAACAGTAGTTTTACTAAATTTTCGTTTTAAGATATTAACGAAATAGTCGAAGACAATTTTACAAATGTCTCTGAAACTAGTGGATCAATTGAAAAATATCAAAAACGATTTTTTATATTTTTCATAAGATGAATTTCTATAGAAGAACATATTTTACAAATGTTTTTCTCGCAATATTCTTTGATAGCGCTTTTTGTTCTGAAGACAGTCACTTTAAATCGTATGAATTGTGGTTTGAAGGCATAAATTAAAATTCCAGAGACATTTGCTAAACAGTTAGTGAATTAATCCTTCGGATTAATTGTCCTTTCCTTTCCTTCAACTTCTATTCTTCACAGCAGCCTCAACAATCAATCTCAACTCCTCCAACTTCTCAATACTCGAGACATCGATATTGAAGGACTTGACAGAATCACAAAACGTGTGAACATCGATTTCCAGCTGCACCCTGATTTTCTCGTCATCGGTAATTCCCTGGGTTTCAGGTTGAGGTGCACCTGACGACTTGTCCCTGATTTTCTTGAGCCTCCTGAGGCTCTCCTCGGTCTTCTGCACTGACTCCAGCACATCCTTGACCGAAACAAAATACCTGAAAGAGATTATCCAACTCAATCAACCAAATTTAACTAAAAACCTGAGATTATTCTCTAAAAAAAAAAATTAAAGTATTTCCACAGACTAAATTCCATATAAAAATCAAATTCTAATAATTTCCTCTGTAAAATATTCCCCACTGAACATCTTCATGTAAAAACCCTGCAATTATCGTCTAGAATGATGGAAAAACCCAGAATTTTTCGAGTTTTTTCAATAATTTTTTTTCATCAGTGATATTTACTGTTCAGCTAATCGTGAGAGCGCCATGAGCATCCACTGGTCGACCACCTGTTGTCCGACGCCCTGGTACATCTCCCGGAACTCCTTGAGCCCGCCGACAGCAGTCCTGACGTAAGCGCAAGCCTGTGTGGGTCTCTCCCTCATGGTCCTCCTGAATAGCCTGGGGATATCGCTGACCTGCTTCAGGCACTCGAGGCTCTTCCCCAGGAGTTCCCTGACGATCTGCTCACTGATCCCCGGCAAGTCAGCCCTCAAGCCTGCCCTCATCTCCTCGACGGAGGCCCTGAGGACCTCCTCGACAGAGCAAACGAGACTCCCCAGCTTCTCCTCAGCAAAAGCCAGCAATTTCTCGAGCTTTCCCTCGAACTTCATGACATCAGAGTGCAGATACACCAGGAACTCCAGTCTGCTGGGGGCTCCAGGGGTCCCCTGGGTCGTCCCCTCATTGCTCCAGATCCAGGTCTGCCTCAGGCTGCCCCCCACCCAGACCCTGAACCTCGAGCAAATCTGGAGATTGAGTTTCCAGAATTGATGCAGCAACTGGGGCAGGAAGATCCCATCGCTCCAGCACCTCTCCAGGCACCTCCAGGCGACCTCGGTTGGCTTCAGGGTGAACTCATCAGGGCTCCCACGAGGCTTCATCACCCCTGGTGACGCTGACTGCCCCAGAGTCTGCTCGACACTCCCTGCTATCTCCTGGAAACGAATCTGAAAGTAAACTGGGAGATTCCACTTCTTAAGGAACTGGAGGTAGAGAGGGTGAGCTCTCAGCTCGGACAGGATCCGGGGACTGCTGCAGTGGCTCTCCATCCTCTTCAGGTAGTCCAGGGTCTCCTTGTACCGCTGGTGGAAGAGGTCGGGGTTGCCAGCTGCGAAGATCGATTTCAGTCGTAACTCGATTTTCTCTTCCACTTCTATCTGTAATTTTTTTTGTTAGGGGTTTTAGGGAAAAATCTAGCTACAAATCCATCTACAATTCCATTAGCATTTCGCTGATTCTATTGGAAATTCGCAATAAAAATAAATTTTTAATAAAATATGTTATAGAAATCATAGGTAAAATTTGATGTTTGGAGACAACTTTTCGGTTGAGGTGTTTGCTTGGGAATTTCTCTCATGAAAAAGTCGAGCCGAGGAAATTCTACAGAAAATATGTGTATAGAATATTTATTTTATTTTTTATTGGACATTTGTTGTGAAAAAAACGTGCAGATGTACTGGAAAAAATAATCCTATTGGATTTCTATCGAACTTTCTATTCATTTTTGGTCTATTCTACTGAGGTATTTCCTATAGAATTTTCTCAGCTCAAAATTGAGTTTTTTTTGTTTGACTTTCTTGATGAAGAGAGAAGAAACATAGAATGAAAAAAAAACGTAGAAATTTTGAGCCGAGAAATTTCTATAGAAAATATTCTATAGATAAATTCAATAGAATTCGATTTTTCTATACAACTTATTCTATTGAGATATTTTCTGCAGACTTTCCTGGGCTCAAAATTACCAAGTTTTTTTGTTTGACTTTCTTGATGAAAAGAAAAGAAAAATAGAATGAAAAAAACCTGCAGATCTACTGTAAAAAACAATTCTATTGGATTTCTATCGAACTTTCTATTAATTTTTTATCTACTCTACTGAAATATTGAATAGTGAAAATTCTATAGATAAATTCAATAGCATTCGATTTTTCTATACAACTTATTCTATCGAGATATTTTCTATAGAATTTCCTCGGCTCAAAATTAAGTTTTTTTGTTTGACTTTCGTGATGAAAAGAAAAGAAAAATATAATGAAAAACGTAGAGATTTTGAAGGAAATTCTCCAGAAAACATCTCAATAGAATATATTCACCAACTTTTACACAGAATATTTTCCAACGACCATTTTAACAGAATCCCGCAAAAACTGCTGAATTCGCTTTTTCTACCAAACTTTATCCTGCGCATGAAACCGTCAAAAAAATAACAGAATTTCCACCAGAATTTCCCCCTCAATTCCCCATAATTCCCGCAAACACTTCACCAGAATAAATTCCCAACGCCACGAAATGAATCCTCACATACCCAATAAGAATTAACGACGAAGTTGAATCCCCTCCCCTGATGGGCCTCCAAGCTCCCCTCGATTGCGATGAGGCCCTTCATGCCCCCGCTCAGCACCTCCAGGAGTTTATCGTAGAGTCCCTGCAGACCCCTGGGTTCATTATAAATATTCTTCTCCACAATAACATCCTCAACAGCAGGGCCGACAATCCTCCTCCTGACCAAGTCCTCGGCCTCCCCGACCCTCCCCAAGCTCAGGTACACCCTGAGGCACCTCCCCAGCCGCCCCTCCGCCCCCTCCCCCTCCTGGAGGATGCCCACCAGCTGATCCGACAACGTCGTCATCAGGGCGTCCTCGAGTTCCTGGACATTGGCCTCGACCTCCGCCGAGAGGTACTGTCTGCACCTCGAGGAGTGAAATTTCAGTTGATTGTACTCTGTCGCCGCTCGCTCCAGGCGGTCCAGCTGGTGCTGGCGGTCGCCCCCACCCCCCAGCATCACCCGCAACTTCGTCAGGGACTTGTAGACCCTCCCCAGACTGTGCATGCACTGCTTCTCCTCCCTGATCCTCCGGTGCTCCCTCAGCCCCTCCGACATCTCCACCGTCGCCGCCTCCAGGGTCTGCCGGATCTGCAGCACTTCCTCGCGGATCTGACCCAGGGGCGACTCCAGGTGATCTATCGCCTTGTCCAGGCCTATCAGGTCCTTCGAGAGGTTCACGAAGTCCGCGTAGTCCTTGTTGATTAGCTCGATCATCGCTGAGCGCAGGATCTTCAGGTAGACCCCCAGGTCGTCGCGCATCGTCTCGAGGGTGGCGAGTTTGCGGTGGTCGTGGAGGAAGTTGTCGACGTCGAAGTCCGGGGCGATGAAGTCCGAGGACTTGAAACTGAGCTCCTCCGGGGCACGGGGAAGCGCGAATTCTGGGGGTTTCGACATTTTTCGGAACTTTGGGGGGAGGTTTTTATGGCGGGGGCGAGACGGGGGAACTTTGAGGGATGTTGTTGTTTTTTCGTAATGGTTGTGTCACTTTTAATGAAGAGGAAGGCGCTGAATGGGTTAGGGGTTTGACAGATCAGGGGAAGATTTCAAGATTTGTTGCTGTCGTGGAGGCGTCTAGGGAACACTGGAACGAGGGAAGTCACTAGATCTGGGGTTTTAGAGAGGTGAGAGGAAGGGGGGGGGCAAGAGAGGGCGGGATAATTCTCATTCAAGGGGAATTACAAACTGAATCGAACTGGAGCAATAGGTCGACAGCCGGAGACTGTTATTTATAAACAAATGGCGATGGTAAATCACTTGTAATTCGGTAGCAGATGAATGTAATGCATCTTGGAGTGTTTCAGGATCACTCAGTTGACTAGTAATTTTGAAAAACTGACGATGTAATAATTGAGAATCAACGTTCACACGACGAAAAAATTCGATTTTGGCGAAAGTCGACTTTCCCCTGGAAAAATCCAAGGTCTGACCCTTTGGCCCCAGGTAAAAATTTTTTTCTCATTTTTGACTTTTTCCACATACTTTTGAGAGATCTGGATAGCCCGTTGGCTGAATTATCGGAATCGACTTTCACTCGGCGAAAAAATTCGATTTTAGCGAAAGTCGACTTTCCCCTGGAAAAATCCAAGGTCTGACCCTTCGGCCCCAGGTAAAAAATGTTTTTTCTCATTTTTGACTTATTCCACATACTTTTGAGAGATCTGGATAGCCCGTTGGCTGAATTATCGGAATCCATTTTCACTCGGCCAAAAAATTCGATTTTGGCGAAAGTCGACTTTCCCCCTGAGAAAATCCAAGATCTGACCCTTCGGCCCCAGGTGAACAATTTTTTTTTTCATTTTTTACTTTTTCCACATACTTTTGAGAGTTCTGGATAACCCGTTGCCTGAATTATCGGAATCCACTTTCACTCGGCCAAAAAATTCGATTTTGGCGAAAGTCGACTTTGCCCTGAGAAAATCCAAGGTCTGACCCTTCGGCCCCAGGTAAAAAATTTTTTTTCTCATTTTTGACTTTTTCTACATACTTTTGAGAGATCTGGATAGCCCGTTGCCTGAATTATCGGAATCAACGTTCACTCGGCGAAAAAATTCGATTTTAGCGAAAGTCGACTTTCCCCTGGAAAAATCCAAGGTCTGACCCTTCGGCCCCAGGTAAAAATTTTTTTTTCTCATTTTTGACTTATTGCACATACTTTTGAGAGTTCTGGATAGCCCGTTGCCTGAATTATCGGAATCCACTTTCACTCGACCAAAAAATTCGATTTTGGCGAAAGTCGACTTTCCCCTGGAAAAATCCAAGGTCTGACCCTTCGGCCCCGGGTGAAATTTTTTTTTTATTTCTGTATTTCTGTCGCCCCCGAGGGTTTCATTGGTATCAGACAGGCCAATAAATACAGAATCAACGTTCACTCGGCGAAAAAATTAATTAAGTCGACTTTTCTCCTGAAAAAATCCAAGATCTGACACTTTGGAGTGAGAGGGGATACGGAATATGGGACACATACTGTTGCGTATTCCCCTTCGAATCCCGATTCATTTGTCTATCATCGAACAGATCTCGAGAAGCCCTCTCCGGAGCTCTTGTGCAAGACGCATTGTCTCCTCGACTGCATAATCAATAAACCCCCAACCATTTCATTAACCTGAGTTGCATTCATTCATTCATTCCAATTGGTTTCCCTGGGAGAGGCTATTTTTTTAATGAAAAATATAGAGATAACAATGATTTTTACAAATTCATTCTTAAACAACGTTCTCTTCGGGGAAGAGGTGGGGGAACATGTAGAAAAATTCGATTGTCGATATGTACAAGTGAAGCCAGTTCACGATTTTCGTTTAGTTATGAGTAAAGAGTTGATTTGGGGTTTCAGTAGTCCTCCTCGGACTCGGGGTCAGTCTGCTGCTCATAAGGACTTGGCGGAGGCACGGGGGAGTCTGTCCCCTCGACTTCCTCTTCACTTTCCGGCTGCTTTCGCTCGGATTTCTCCATTGCGTAGCGTCTCCAGGGAAATCTGGATGACAAAAAAAGGGAGAGAATCATCAAATACATTTTCAACATTACCATAAAGTCTGCTCGCACGAAAAAAATTCATAGAAAAAAATCCATTGATTTTTTATCAAAATTTCTATCAATTCTAATAAAAAAAATTAATTTAGTTCAGTTTTTTTTAAATTTCTATCATTTGTTTTTGGCCCATTCTATTGAGGAATTCCCCAGCATTACTGCACTTTTTTTTTATAGAAAATATCCAATGGAAAACAATTTTAAATCTCCCAGTTTTTTCATTTTCTTATAGACATTTTCTTAAATAAAAAAACCAATAGAAACTACTTTAATGAAAACTATTTTCAATTCCTAAACATGAATGTTCCAAGTTTCTTCCACTCTATTTTCCTTCCCTTCGCACTGAAAAAATCGACCAAAAAACGTAGAACATTGTCCACTGACCATTTCCATTGAAAAAAGTGCAGATAAACCCCAGAATTCCCAGCGAATATTCCCCCTTGTTCTACGAATTTTTTTCGTACATGTCTTTCAGCATGTTTCAGTCATTCTAAATATTGTCCCTCCTCAAATTCCCATCTACCTCTTCTTGTTATCAAAAGCCTCCTCAACAAACAGATGAGACACGATCTTCGAGTGTCCCTTCAGCTGCTGCGACTTGGGAGTATTCCTAAAGGCGCATATCAGATGTGAGCACTTATTGCTCGTGACATTGGGATCAGCGACATATCGAGCTCCCATTTTAAGCGCCTTCCTCCTGATCTCGTCCCTCTGAGGATTGACGTACCCACTCAACGAGAAGGTGACATCCCCCATCAACTTGGAGAACTCTTTCTTGCGTCTCCCCTCGACTCGCGGCCTCTTCGGCTGGGGAGTCTTCACGGTTTTCTGTTTCGGAAGTTTACCGCAATTCTGGCAAGGCCTGTCCTGCACCCCATCCTCGCAAACCGAGCATTTCCCAGAGGACGATGCAGTGCTCGTCCTGTCATCTGCACTCGTTCCCTTTTTCCTCCCATTGGCATTCTTCTTCTCCGCATTTTCAACATTTTTCTCCTCGTCATTTTCGTCGGAATCCGAATCAATGAAGTGAGATCGTCGTTTGGACGTGCCAGCCCTCTCATTTTTCGTCTTCCTGCTAGAACTCTCTTCCTCATCCTTCCCCTTCACACTGGATTTCCCCTCCCCCTCCCCATCATCATCATGAATGAAGCTGCTGCGTCGTCTGGACGTCTCCTTTCCCTTCCTGCTAGAGTCATCTTTTTTGGAATTATCTTTGTCTGGAATAACGTCTCCAAAGGGCGTTCGTTTCACCGCTTTCGTCTCCTCCTCGTCCTTGACGTTTCTCTTCCCGAAGACCTCCTCACTCCTGCCAGCCTCCAGCTTCTCCAGCAGGGGCCTCCTCTTGGGCGTTCCCCCCTCCTCCTGTCGCTTGTTGAACTCATCAACCCCATTCTCCTTGATCTTCTCCTTGATCTGCTCCCTGTAGTCTTTTTGTTTCTCGGGGAAGAGTCTCAGGAATTTTGCTTTGAAGTCGTTCTTGGGTTTCTCGGGGTCCTCGGTCTTCAGTTTGAACCTCCCCAGGACGTTGAGGTCCATCGAGAGGGGGGCCTCACCCCTCAGGATGATGGAGGACAGGCCGAAGAGGGTTTTGGTGTTCGCTGACTGCATGCATGTCACCTTGGCTCTGCTGAATTTGACCTTCAATGTCTCGGAATTGAGCTCCTTCTTCGTGAAGAGCTGAACCTGGTCACGGAATTTGTTGTTGGCTGCCTCGTCGTGGGTGAGAAACTGGTGGTTGACGATGGGAATCCAGTTGTCTGGGTCGGACTCGGTGGAGGCTGTCACTATTACTATGCAGGAACGGTAGTTGGAGATGTCCAGGCCAGTTATGCACATCTCCTCGGAGAACTTGAAGATTACGTAGGTCAGGAGGACTCCGGGCTTCTCGCACTTCCAGGGGCCTGCCAACAGGGATTGGGAGTGAGTCGTGCACGAGAAAATGTCGGAGGATGTGGGGAATTCGATGGAAAATTCTACTGAATTTTTGTTGGAATTCTGACGTTCATGATGCTTATTTTGACCCTTTTGACCCTTAATCTGACCCTCTTGACGATTCTGTTGACCCTCATGGCCCTTATTTTGACCTTCAGGGCCTTATTTTGACCCTCATGACCCTTATTCGGATTTATGACTCTCATGACCCTCAATCCGACTGACGTCAACTTTAATCTGACCCTCGCGACCATTCTTTTGACACTCAGGCCCTTATTTTGAGCCTCATGACCCTTATTTTGACCCTTGTGAGCCGCAATTTTGGAGTCTTAATTTCAAGTACCAAATTTTCATCACCGGAAGTCGATTTGGATTTTTATAATATTGAGAGATAGAAATATGAATAGAAAAGTGAAATTCTCAATGATTTTTTCTATATAATAATTTCGATTGGACATCCCTTTTCTCTTTAATAAGAAATCCATTGTAACCTTTTTTGAAGGCAAGCTATTCCGTCTAACATTTTTCGTTCTTTAGTAGGGGAGGGTGGGGTAAAATGGACATTTTAGACTTGTTTAAAATTATTCATAACTCAGAAACAAATTTATTAATTGAGCTCAGTTTAGCCTCGTCACAAAGGGAAAAATTTGTTCTCTGTATTGAAAAAAAATTATTAAATTTTATCAACAGTTCAACCCCTCATTAACATTTAAAAAAAGTCAAGTGTTACCCCAACCTCCCCTATACTAGATAAAAAATTATATACATTAAAAAACAAAATCAAAAAAAGAAATTAAATGAAAAAAAAGAAATTTGCATCTTAAAAAATTGTATTCAATAATATTTTGCGATTTAGCAGAGATGTGGAGACCTATAAACTTCTCTTTCTTCTCTTACTCACTGGATTACCTGGTGGAGGGTTCTTCAGAAGATTCGAGGCCGGGAAGTCCGGGTGTTCCGAGGAGCAACTCAGAATTTTTGAAAAGGGGATTATCATCTTGGAGGGCTGGTATTGTTTTGGTTTTTGGGGGGTCGAGAGAGGTTAGGGGCACCGAACCTCTCGGCTACCGATGGCACTCTTCCTTTGAGGGCTCAGGGTTGATTCCAGGAGGTGCAAAGGGTGTCCGGGACCCGGGGCTGGAGATCTAAGGAAGACTTATTTTTTCTGGGATCGTCTTTGTTTATGCGGAATTTGGAGGTGCTTCTGGTGAACGGTTGATAGAACTGCGTGGCACGTACTTTTCGCGCGATTTTTGCACTGTTGGTAAGGAAGGGAATGGATGAAAACATATGGTAAGACCTAATTTTTTTTTTCGTACAAATTTTTTCTTTTCATCAAGAAAATAAAGCAAAAAAATTAGAAATAAAAAACTGAGCCGAGGAAATTCTACAGAAAATATCTCAATAGAATAAGTTGTGTAGAAAAATCGGTTTCTGTTGATTTTTTCTATATAATTCTGTATAATAGAATATTTTCTATTGAAAATTTCAATAGAAATCCAATAGAATTGTCCAACGAATTCGCAAATTTTTTCATACGTGCTCTCCCCTAAGAAACACTCATGAAAAAATTTAATAGAAAAAGTCAGAAGAATTCGATTTATTCTTTCGAAATAATTTCTATACAATTTCCTCGGCCCAAATGTTTCCAAGTGTTTTCATGAGATTTTCTTGACGAGAAGATGAGAAAAATAGTGAAAAAAATTTAGAAAATTTCAGGAAATTCTGTAGAAAATATCTGAAGAAAATAAATTACATAGAAAAATCGAATTCCATTTTCTCCAGACCAACCGCCATTCTAATCACCTCATGTCCGAGACATCAAGTGCAATAGTCCCCTATTACATATCATTCTCCCAAAAACCCCACATCTCTATTAAACCCCCCATTAATTCCCCCGCCCCCTCCAAAACGCGGGAATCATCGATTCCCGCTTAAAACCCACTCCCATCCGAAGCTTCCCGCCTTCCCGCCAAAATCCGTCCACTCCTACCAACCCCCC